TGAGCAGGGGGTTGGACTAGATGACCTCCAAGGTCCCTTTCATCATCATCATCATCATCATTATTATTATTATTATTATTCAAACTGGCTCCTGTGCATGTGCTGATGAAGCTTTGTGCACGCCCACCTCTCATTTGCGTGGCCCGGTGCCCAACAGGCTGCGGACCGGGAATTCAGGACCCCCAATTTAGACTACCGGCGGTCCTTGACTTACAAGAGTTCATTTAGTGACCATTCAAAGTTGTAACGGCGCTGAAAATAGTGACTTACCACAGTTTTCCCATTTATGGCTGCTACAGCTTCCTCAGGGTCACGAGATCAAAATTCAGAGGCTTGGCAACTGGCGTGTACTTAGGAAAGTTGCAGCGTTCACGTGACCCCTTTTTACAACGGGGGGGGGAGATCCACTTAACAACCGGGTTACTCACTTATCAACTCCAGTGATTTACATAACTGCAGCAAGATAAGATAAGATAACCTTTATTGTCATTTTTTTTTTACTGTGGGCACAACGGCACACATCAAGAATGACATTTAGTTGCCTGCTCTGTAAAGTGAAATACATACATGATACACACCTAAAACATACTATGTAGACAGATCGTAAAGCAGGGCAAAAGCCGCTTAACCAGTCTCGCTCAGCAACGGGAAGTTTGGGCTCCACGTTGGTCGTAAAGTCGAGGACTGCCTGCCTTCGGTAAACGAATCATGTCGTACCTTGCGTTTTTTGCAACGGTTTGGGAATTCTAGCGCAGCTGCCGGACGCCCAATCTGGCCCGACATATATTGACTTACATCTTCTACGCTGGAAATGACCGGGTCACACAGAAGGCTCTTTCCGATGGGATTCCTTTCCCGATTTCCCAGCGGCCCCTCTCCAGTTGACGCTCCATAATGAAGCCGCCATTGTCACTCCGTCGCCCTGTGGAGGTTGCCCTGAGGCCAAACATCCCTGAAATACGATGCCCGCTCATCATAGTTGGCAGCCCTACTTGTTGAGCCCAGCCAGGAGAGAGGAACACCAATGACGCAGTTGTTATTTCCATTTTTTTCTTCTTTTTTCTTTTTAATTTAAGGCAGGCCTGTTGACAGCAACGCGATCCCCGTCGATGGGGCCAAGAAGGGATCTCGTTCTGGCCAAGCTGTCAACCTCAATTCCTCTCCTTGGGGTTCTGTTGGGTTCACGTCCTTTGCGGCGCCCGGACGGGCACAAATCTTGGGGCGAAGGTTGGCATCTTGGGGGGGGGGGCTTAAGGCCTTTTTTTTTTCCCAATCGAGCGACGCTTGGATTTTTCCTTCCTCCCTCCTGAGGTTGGCACTTGGCCGTGTTGTTGCAAGGGGAGGCCAAGATTTATGGGTGTGAGTGGCACTTGCTAATGGCCCTGGGCAATCTGCCCACCTGTCAAAAGTTGCTGGTGGAGTAAAAGCATCTAAATCCAGGGTAATGCCACCCTGGGCTCCAGCTGTCTGCACTCAAAAAGCCATGTCTGCACTTGGTGACTTGGGGAAGCTCCTCCTGCCACCATCTCTGATGCATCTCCAGCTTCTGGTTCAGAAGGGCAATATGCAGGTGGTCCTCAACCTACGACCGTTCATTTAGGGACTGTTTGAAGCCACAACAGCACTGGGAAAAGCGACACGAGACCGTTTCTTACACTTCCCAGGCTCCAAATTTCCATAATGATGATGATGATGATGGAAGGGACCTTGGAGATCATCTAGTCCAACCCCCTGCTCAGGCAGGAAACTCTATACCAGTGGTTCTCAACCTTTCTAATGCCGCGACCCCATAATACAGTTCCCCATGTTGTGGTGACCCCCAACCACTTATACATCACCGGGTTCCAGGGGCGTGGCCAAAGAAAAGGGGGAAAAAATGGCGGACAGCCTTGTTTGGCGACCCCTGTGAAATGGTCGTTCGACCCCAAATGGGGTCCCGACCCACAGGTTGAGAACCGCTGCTCTAGAAGGAGGGCAGAGAAGAGCAACGAAGATGATCAGGGGACAGGAGGCTAAATCATATAAGGAACGTTTGGTTGCTGGAATTGGGTCTTGTCTAGTTTAATGAAGAGAAAGACGAGGGCGGACAGGATAGCAGTCTTCCAGTATCTCAGGGCCTGCCCCAAAAAAGAGGGAGTCAAGCTATTCTCCAAAGAGCCTGAAGGCAGGACAAGAAGCAGCGGATGGAAACTAATCAAGGAGAGAAGCAACCTGGAACTAAGGAGCAATTTCCTGACAGTCAGAACAATTAACCAGTGGAACAACCTGCCTCCAGAAGCGGTAAATGCTCCAACACTGGAAGTTTTTAAGAAGAGACTGGACAGCCGTTTGTCTGAAATGGTGTAGGGTTTCCTGCCTGAGCAAGGGGGTTGGACTAGATGACCACCAAGGTCCCTTCCAACTTTATTATTATTATTTCGGACAAATGGCTGTCCAGTCTCTTCTTAAAAACTTCCAGTGTTGGAGCTTTCACCGCTTCTGGAGGCAGGTGGTTCCACTGGTTAATTGCTCAACAGGACAGTGTGGCTGAGTGAGTTGGGCCTCATTTTACGACCTCGCTCGCCACAACTGTGAAGTGGGTCACTGCTAAGGTTAACTTAGTCACCCCCGTTGTTAAGTGAATCCGGCTTCCCCAGGGACTTGGCTTGTCAGAAGGTTGCCAAAGGGGACCCCGCGACTCCCGGGGACGCCGCGCCCGACATAAATACGAGTCAGTTGTCGAGCGCCTGAATTTTGATCAAGTGACCTCTGGCGATGCTGCAACGGTTGTAAGGGGGGGGGAGTTGTAAGTCGCTTTTTCCAGTGCCATTATAAGTTTGCTCTGCCAACAAAAGTGAGTATAGTCCAGGCCGTGGTTTTCCCAGTTGCAATGTACGGCTGTGAAAGTTGGACCATAAGAAAGGCTGAGCGCCAAAGAATGGAGGCCTTTGAACTCTGGTGCTGGAGAAGACTCCTGCGAGTCCCCTGGACTGCAAGGCGATCCAACCGGTCAGTCCTAGAAGAGATCAACCCCGACTGCTCTTTAGAAGGCCAGATCCTGAAGTTGAAACTCAAGTTCTTTGGCCACCTAAGGAGAAGGAAGGACTCCCTGGAGAAGAGCCTGATGCTGGGAAAGATGGAGGGCAAGAGAAGAAGGGGACGACAGAGAATGAGGAGGCCAGAGGGAGTCCCTGAAGCAGGAGGCGTGAGCTTCAATGGACTCCAGAAGATGGTAGAGGACAGGAAGGCCTGGAGGAACGTGGTCCATGGGGTCGCAATGGGTCGGACACGACTTCGCAGCTAACAACAACAACAACAAATAAGTTCGAACAGTCATTAAATGAACAGTTGTAAGTCAATGACAGTTCTAAGTCAATTACTACCTGTATTCTGAGTTATAAATTGGGAGTAGCAGCACATAGGAGGAGTGTCGAAAGCAGCCGTAATGAATCTGGCCAGGAAGGAAAGGTTCATTGGCATGAAGGCAAATGCCAACACACAAGCACAAAACGCACCCACTGCAAACACACACCCATTCTGGTGAGAGCTTTACGAGCCCAAACTCTGCACTTATACGATTCCGGGAAGAGAGTCCTTTTTATTGTAGCGTGCAAGGTTTCACTTTGTGCACTAAAAAGACTTTACTAAGCAAAGGGAGGGCAGAGAACTGAATGCCCATAAGGAGTATTTGGAGCCTCCAATGGCCAGGGGCCTCATGTAGCCTCCCCCCCCCCCGGACAACGTACAGTGGTGAGCCAGCTGTGTGCAGCAGCAGGCAAAAAAGCGAATGCAATCCTTGGTTGCATAAATGGAGGCACAGAATCAAAATCACGTGAACTATTACTGGACATTCACCTATCTGAGATGGTATAGGTTCTCCTGCTTGAGCAGGGGGCTGGACTAGAAGACCTCCAAGGTCCCTTCCAGCTTCTATTCTATATTCTATTCTATTCCTTATTCTGTTCTATTCCTATCCTATCCTATCCCATCCCATTCCATTCCATTCTATTCTATTCTATTCTATTCTATTCCTATCCTATTCCGTTCCATTCTATTCTATTCCATTGTGCTTTCTATTTTATTCTATTCTATTCCATTCTCTTCTATTCCATTCCACATTCTACTCTATTTTCTGTCTGAGCACTGGGTCAGACTAGAAGACCTCCAAGGTCCCTCCCTTCTATTCTATTCTATTCTATTCTATTCTATTCTATTCTATTCTATTCTATTCTATTCTTATTCCATTCCATTCCATTCTACAATCCGTTATCTCTATTCTTCTCTATCAGTGAGGACAATTAAACAGTGGAACAGCTTTGCCTCCAGAAGTTGTGGGTGCTCTATCACCGGAGGTTTTTAAGAAGAGACTGGACAGTCACTTGTCCGAATTGGTGTAGGTTCTCCTGCTTGAGCAGGGGGCTGGACTAGAGGACCTCCAAGGTCCCTTCCAGCTTCTATTCTATATTCTATTCTATTCTATCCTATTCCTATTCCTATCCTATTCCTATCCTATTCCTATCCTATTCCGTTCCATTCTATTCTATTCCATTGTGCATTCTATTTTATTCTATTCTATTCCATTCTCTTCTATTCCATTCCATTCCACATGCTACTCTATTTTCTGTCTGAGCACTGGGTCAGACTAGAAGACCTCCAAGGTCCCTCCCATCTATTCTATTCTATTCCATTCCATTCCATTCTACAATCTGTTATCTCTATTCTTCTCTATTCTATTCTTCTATTCCATTCTGTTCTATTCTTGTGTCTATTCTATTCTGTTCTATTCTACAATCTGTTATCTCTATTCTCTATCAGTGAGGAGAATTAAACAGTGGAACAGCTTTGCCTCCAGAAGTTGTGGGTGCTCCATCACTGGAGGTTTTTAAGAAGAGACCGGATAGCCATTTGTCCGAATTGGTATAGGTTCTCCTGCTTGAGCAGGGGGCTGGACTAGAGGACCTCCAAGGTGCCTTCCAGCTTCTATTCTAAAGTCTAAACATGACCTCCATTTTCCTTTGCAGGCCTTGACCCGGGAAGAGCTGGGCATAGCTGTGCCCACCGAGGAAGAGATTATTACAATGTCCGAGGACACTTATTCTTATGATGTGCCCGATATCAGCCTCAACTTCAAGGAGATGAATGATGCCCAGAAAATTGACGTTGACGCCTGGTTTGGTGAGTAGCCGGTCTACGGCCGGGAGGGGGACCTGCTGGAGGAGGGCCAAACTAACTGCTGGCTTTCCTGCTGAAGGCAGGACTAGAATTCACCATCTCCTGGTGACTGGCCCAAAGTCACTCAGCCAATTTCCGTACTTATGGTGGGATTAGAACCCCCTAGAGACTTGAGTTTCATGCCTAAGGGGAACTAGAACTCACTGTCTCCTGGTGATTGGCCTAGAGTCCCCTAGCTGATGTTCCTGCTTAAGGGAGGACTAGAAATCACCATTGCCTGGTAATTGGCCCAAAGTCACCCAGCTGTTTTTCGTGCTTATGGTGGGACTAGAACTCACTGTCTCCTGGTGATTGGCTTAAAGTCCCCTAGCTGGCTTTCCTGCTTAAGGCTGGACTAGAACTCATCGTCTCCCAATGTGTGGCCAGCTGGGTTTCGTGCCTAAGCAGAACTAGAACTCACTGTCTCCTGGTGATTGGCCTAAAGTCTCCTAGCTGACTTTCATGCTTAAGGTATGAAACTCACCGTCTCCTGGTGATTGGCCCAAAGTCACGCAGCCAATTTCCGTACTTATGGTGGGACTAGAACTCACCGTCTCCCAGTGAGTGGCCAGCTGGCTTTCGTGCCTAAGCGGAACTAGAACTCACTGTCTCCTGGTGATTGGCCTAAAGTCCCCTAGCTGGCTTTCCTGCTTAGGGCTGGACTAGAACTCACCGTCTCCCAGTGTGTGGCCAGCTGGGTTTCGTGCCTAAGCGGAACTAGAACTCACTGTCTCCTGGTGATTGGCCTAAAGTCCCCTAGCTGGCTTTCCTGCTTAGGGCTGGACTAGAACTCACCGTCTCCCAGTGTGTGGCCAGCTGGGTTTTGTGCCTAAGCAGAACTAGAACTCACTGTTTCCTGGTGATTGGCCTAAAGTCCCCTAGCTGGCTTTCCTGCTTAAGGCTGGACTAGAACTCACCGTCTCCCAGTGTGTGGCCAGCTGGGTTTCGTGCCTAAGCAGAACTAGAACTCACTGTTTCCTGGTGATTGGCCTAAAGTCCCCTAGCTGGCTTTCCTGCTTAAGACTGGACTAGAACTCACCGTCTCCCAGTGTGTGGCCAGCTGGGTTTTGTGCCTAAGCAGAACTAGAACTCACTGTTTCCTGGTGATTGGTCTAAAGTCCCCTAGCTGGCTTTCCTGCTTAAGGCTGGACTAGAACTCACCGTCTCCCAGTGAGTGGCCAGCTGGGTTTCGTGCCTAAGCAGAACTAGAACTCAGTTTCCTGGTGATTGGTCTAAAGTCCCCTAGCTGGCTTTCCTGCTTAAGGCTGGACTAGAACTCACCGTCTCCCAGTGTGTGGCCAGCTGGGTTTCGTGCCTAAGCAGAACTAGAACTCACTGTTTCCTGGTGATTGGCCTAAAGTCCCCTAGCTGGCTTTCCTGCTTAAGGCTGGACTAGAACTCACCGTCTCCCAGTGTGTGGCCAGCTGGGTTTCGTGCCTAAGCAGAACTAGAACTCACTGTTTCCTGGTGATTGGCCTAAAGTCCCCTAGCTGGCTTTCCTGCTTAAGGCTGGACTAGAACTCACCGTCTCCCAGTGAGTGGCCAGCTGGGTTCCGTGCCTAAGCAGAACTAGAACTCACTGTTTCCTGGTGATTGGTCTAAAGTCCCCTAGCTGGTTTTCCTGCTTAAGGCTGGACTAGAACTCACCGTCTCCCAGTGTGTGGCCAGCTGGGTTTTGTGCCTAAGCAGAACTAGAACTCACTGTTTCCTGGTGATTGGTCTAAAGTCCCCTAGCTGGCTTTCCTGCTTAAGGCAGGACTAGAACTCACCGTCTCCCAGTGAGCGGCCAGCTGGGTTTCATGCCTAAACGGAACTAGAACTCACTGTCTCCTGGTGATTTTGTCTAAAGTCCCCTAGCTGGATTTCCTGCTTAAGGCAGGACTAGAACTCACCGTTGCCTGGTAATTGTCCCAAAGTCTCCCAACTAATTTTCGTGCTTACGGTGGGACTAGAACTCACCGTCTCCTGGTAATTGGCCTAAAGTCCCCTTGCTGACTTTCCTGCTTAAGGCAGGATTAGAACTCACCATCTCCCAGTGAGTGGCCAGCTGGCTTTCATGCCTAAGGAGAACTAGAGCTAATTGCTTAAGGCAGGACTAGATCTCCCCCACGCCACCTGGTGATTGGCCCAGAGTCACTCCGCCGGCTTTTGTGCTGACGGTGGGACTGGAATTCCCCATCTCCCAGTGTGTGGTTTGATGCTTTCTTCACTCGACCCAACTAGCTCTTTTGGAAGGGCACGGGAGGCGCTTTAAGGGTTGCTAGGAAATGGTCTGCTTGCTGCTCGCAGCACGGAGGACCTTGCTAGGCTCACCACTATTTTTGCAGTTGTCCGATCTGCCGCCCTGATGACCCCCTGCACAGAGACGGGTCCGCCGGGCGTCCTGCCCAAAGCCTTGTCATTCAAGTCTAACCTTCCCTGGGCGGCGGTCTCACCACTGGTGAAATCAGGTGAGCTGCTTCCTTTGAGACCCAAATGGCGTTCGATCAAAGAGGTCCACGGGCCGGTCCCGTCTAGTCTTGAGCCTCGGGTCCTTTTTTCTTAATCCCACCAACCTCCTGATGGACCCTCAAGACATTCCTTGGGAGCTGAGACACCCCCACCATCCCCTCCTCCTCCTCCTGGCCACCTCCGTTTTAACTTGGGCGTGGCAAAATGTGGGGGAGCCCGCCTCTGGGAGGTGTCTCTCTCTTGGACCTTAAAATGCAGGGTCCCTCACGTTGGAGAGTTTGGACGAGCTTCTCTCTCGTCCTCTCTGGCGACCGCAAGAGGACGTCTGGTTGCTGTTGTCCCCCGTTCAGCGTTGAGGAGAGGAGACGGCTACGGCCCTCCCCAGGTCTTCACGCCAGTCTAATTCCATTCTTCTCCAGGAGGACCTCGCTTGGTTCCATAGTATTGCTAGAGCTCTTTCCTGAGAAATGTCCTCCGTGTCTCCTCACCTTTAGATGAGAAGGAGAGTAATAATGAAGATGAAATGGAACCGTCAAACGAGATCCCCGCCAATGTGGTTCGTTCGATGGCGGAATGGCCGCAAGCAACAAGAGAGAACGCACCGCCTGCAGGAAGGCCCCCAGCAAGGTAAGACGGGTTCTTGGATGCCGTCCTGGATGGAGTCCTTCTTGGAATGGGATGTTCGTTCAGCTTTGGGGGAACCCAGAACTGCCTGTAATAGAATAACAGAGATGGAAGGGACTTTGGAGGTCATCTAGTCCAACCCCCTATTCAGGCAGGAAACTCTATACCAGTGGTTCTCAACCTTTTTAATGCTATGACCCCCAACCGGTCGTAAGTTGAGGGCTACTCAACTGGTGTAGCACCGTTTGCAGAAGGGGACTTTTGGCGGGCTCAGCAGGGCAGAGACAGCCTGGACAATTCCTATTGGCTTTGGAAAGCCAATAGAATTAGACTCTATTCAAGAGAGTCTATTCTATTGGCTTTCAAAAGCCAATAGAATAAAAGGGAGTAACACAGCTAAGGAAAGGGGGGAAAAAATGGCGGACTGCGTTGTTTGGCGACCCCCGTGAAATGGTCGTTCGACCCCAAATGGGGTCCCGACCCACAGGTTGAGAACCGCTGTTCTAGTCCAACCCTTGCTTGACCAGAAGACTCATTCCCATTCCGGACGCATAGCTGTCAAATCTCCAGTGATGGAGCCCCCACAACTTCTGGAGGCAGGTTGTTCCTCTGGTTAATTGTTCTCACTGTCAGGAAATTCCTCCTTAGTTCCAGGTTGCTTCTCTCCTTGATGAGTTTCCATCCATTTTTTTTTCTTGTCTTGCCTTCAGGTGCTTTGGAGAATAGGTGGAGCCCCCTCTTCTTTTTTTTTTTTTTTGTGGCAGTCCTTCAAATATTGGAAAACTGCTGTCATGTCACCCCTCGTCCTTCTGTTCATTAAACTAGGCCGGGAGTCTTCAAACATGGCTCTTTTATGACTTGTGGACTTCAACTCCCAGAATTCCCCAGCCAGCATGGACCCTATAAGCCAGGGGTCTTCAAACCTGGCTCTTTGATGACTTGTGGACTTCAACTCCCAGAATTCCCCAGCCAGCATGGACCCTATAAGCCAGGGGTCTTCAAACTTGGCTCTTTTATGACTTGTGGACCAACTCCCAGAATTCCTCAGCCAGCATGCCTGTCTGAGGAATTCTAGGGGTTGAAGTCCACAAGTCATAAAAGGGCCAAGTTTGAAGACCCCTGAAACTAGGCACACCTAATTCTTGCAATTGTTCTTTGTGTGTTTTGAAATCACAAGAGCCCTTTAAAAAGTGACTTACGACCCATGACTATTTTGCGCACGTATGACTGTTGTGCATCTCCATGGTCTCGTGATTTACATTCTGACAGTTGGCAACTGGTTCGTATTTATGACAGGTTGCACTTTGTCGGGGTCACGCGATCAAAATTCAGACGCTTGGCAACCGACTCACATTTATGACGGTTGCGTTATCCCGGGGTCACGCGATCCCCTTTTGCGACCTGCTGACAAGCCAAAGTCAACGGGGCAAGCCAAATTGATAACTCTATTACTAGCTTAATCAGAACAGAGCTGGGAGGGACCTTGGAGGTCTTCTAGTCCAGCCCTCTACTCAAGAAGGACAAGTGGCTGTTCAGTCTCTTCTTAAAAACCTCCAGAGATGAAGCACCCAGAACTTAACAACTGTGGCAAGAAAGATTATAAAATGGAGCAAAAGTCCGTTAACAACTGTTTTGCCCAACCACACGAATTTTGGGCTCAGTTGTGGTGTAACTTGAGGACCACCTGTACTGTCAGTGGGACTCAAAGGTTCTCCACAAGCTGGCATAGCCAAAATCAGTGGTGGGGTTCAAATACCTGAACAACGTATTGTGCATGCACTTCCTGTGGCCGTGCTAGGGCTGGGAGGCCTCCCCGGCTCAGAACAGACGTCCGGGAGTGGCATGGATGCACTTCCTGTGGGCTGTACTGGGGCTGGGAGGCCTCCCTGGCACAGAACAGACTTCCGGGAGTGGCATGGATGCACTTCCTGTAGGCCGTACTGGGGCTGGGAGGCCTCTCCGGCTCAGAACAGATTTCCGGAAGTGACATGGACGCACTTCCGATGTTCCGTTCTGAGACTTGCGAAAAGGGCTAGGGCATCAGCCGGTTCACCGAAGTCAACAAAAAATTAGCTACCGATTCTCCCAAACGGGTGCGAGCTGGCAGAACCCCACCACTGGTTAGAATGGAACATCCAGCCTCCCCCCCCCCCTTCCTCTCCCTTTTGTTCAAGGACTCTTTTACTTCCCATCTTTAGGGCGGCCAAGCGGCTTTCGGCCCGGCGAAAAAGTGCCCAGCGTCGACTGATGGCCAAAAGCCACGCCGAGAAGGTTGCCACCGCCTTGGCCAGCAAACAAGAGCCCCCTCCGGTGAAGAAGCAGAAAATGTACGTCTCTGGGATAGCAGGAGCTCTTAGACTTACATACAGCCCCACTGGGTTTGACAGCCCTCTCTGGGCAGTTTACAATGATGATGTCACTTACATCTTGCCGCCGCCGCCCCCCCCCCCCCGAAAAACAATCTGGGTCCTCATTTTATTGACCTCGGAAGGATGGGAGGCTGACTCAACCTTGAGCCGGTCAGGATTGAACTCCTGGCGGTGGAATGCAGAGTTAACCTGCAATATTGTGTTCTAGCCACCGTGCCACTAGGAGTAGAGTAGAGTAGAGTAGACAAGACAGATTGTAGAATAGAATAGAATAGAATATATAAAATAGAATAGAAACACATAATAGAGTAGAATAGAAATACAGAATAGAATAGAATAGAATAGAATAGAATAGAATAGAATAGAATAGAATAGAATAGAATAGAATAGAATAGAATAGAATAAGGGACAGAATAGAATAGAAATATGGAATAGAATAGAATACGAATGAAACAAAAAATAATATAGAAAAATAGAATAGAATAGAGTAGAATAGAATAGAGAAAAATAGAATAGAATAGAATAAGGGATAGAATAGAATAGAATAGAATAGAAATAGAACTGAATTAAAGAATAGAATAAGGGACAGAATAGAATAAGGGATAGAATAGAATAGAATAAGGGATAGAATAGAATAGAAATAGAACTGAGTTAAAGAATAGAATAAGGGATAGAATAGAATAGAATAGAATAGAATAAGGCAGTGGTTCTCAACCTTTTTAATGCGACCGCCAACCGGTCCTAAGTCGAGGACTACTCAACTGGTGCAGCACCGTTTGCAGAATGGGACTTTTGGCGGATTCAGCAGGGCAGAGACAGCCTGGACAATTCCTATTGGTTTTTGAAAGCCAATAGAATTAGACTCTATTCAAGAGAGTCTATTCTATTGGCTTCCAAAAGCCAATAGAATAAAAGGGAGTAGCACAGCTAAGGAAAAGGGGAAAAAAATGGCTGACTGCGTTGTTTGGCGACCCCTGTGAAATGGTCGTTTGACCTCAAATGGGGTCCCGACCCACAGGTGGAGAACCACTGGAATAAGGGATAGAATAGAATAGAACAGAATAGAATAGAATAAGGGATAGAATAAGGGATAGAATAGAATAGAAATATGGAATAGAATAGAATACGAATTAAACAAAAAAGAATATAGAAAAATAGAATAGTAGACTAGACTAGACTAGAATAGAACAGAGAAAAATAGAATAGAATAGAAATATGGAATAGAATATTGGCTTAACGACGATGTGAATTTACTGAACGGCCCCCGGGATTCTCTTTTAATGGTGGCAAAAGACGTAAAATGGAGCACGGCTCACTTCATAACCAGCCTGCTTAGCAATGGAGAATTTGCGCCCCATTGTTGTCCTAAGTGGAGGACTTCCTGTATGCTGGATTGCTCTGTCCGATAGAGCAGAAGCTCCCGCAACCTTGGCCACTTTATGACTGGTGGACTTCAGCTCCCAGAATTCCTCAGCCAGCATGGACCATATAAGCCAGGGGTCTTCAAATTTGGCTCTTTTATGACTTGTGGACTTCAACTCCCAGAATTCCTCAGCCAGTGGGAGTTGGAGTCCACCAGTGACAAAGTAGCCCAGGTTGGAGATCCCCTGCGATAGAGTTAAGCTTCTGATGAAGGAGAATATTAGTAGCTGGTGGTTGAAATATGGTCTCCGGGCCTAGTTGTTCTCTTGCAAACGTTTCACGACCCAGCTGGGTAACATCATCACTACTGGAAGGGAGGTGGGCTTTTGGAGAGGAGGAGGAGAAGGAGGAGACGGTTGAGGGAGAAGAGGAAGGGGAGGAGGAAGAGGACGGTGGAGTCTTTGTGCTCTCTCAGCTGGGATGTTTCCTCGCTGACATTTCAGGACCCCAACTAGGAAGCGTCATCAGTGCTGCAAGGAAGGGGTAATTGCAGAGAGGAGGAGGAGGAGGAGATGGTTGGGGAGAGGAGGAGGAGGGAGGGAGGAAGAAGAGGAAGACTGTGGGGTCTTTGGTGCTCTCTGAGCTTGGATGTTTCCTTGCAGACGTTTCGTGACCCAACCGGGGGTCATCATCAGTGCTGGAAGGGAGTGGGGTTCGGGGAGAACAGGAGGTGGACTTTGAGGTTCTTGGTGCTCTCTGAGGTTATTTGCCTTCTCGCTGGCATTTCATGACCCCACTAGGGAACATCGTCAGTGCTAGAAGGGGGGGGGTTGCAGAATGGAGGAGGGAGGGAAGCGGTGGTGGAGGGGGAAAGGAAAAAAGAAGGGGAGGATTATAATGTTCGTAGTGCTGTCTGAGCTGGGATGTTTCCTCGCAGACATTTCACGACCCAGCTAGCTAACCTCATCAGCGCTAGGAGGGAGAAGGGTTTGTAGTGCTGGAGGAGAAGAACTGTGGGGTCCTTGCTGCTCTCTGAGATTGGATGTTTCCTTGCAGACCTTTCCCGATCCAGCTAGGGCAGGGCTTTTCAACCCGTGGGATGGGTACCACCTGCGGTCCATTGGCACCTGGCAGGTGGTACACAACCATCCTAGAAAAGGGGTAGCGGGGAAGGGGAAGGAGCTGAACCGGTGGCAGCACCGCACAAGCCTGACCAAGAGACGGCTGGAGCTGCAGGGCTGTCAGGGCTCAGCGGAAGCGCCAGGATCAGGGCCGCTTTCCAGCTGATCGGCGCTTCTTCGGGGCTGTCAGGGCTCAGCGGAAGTGCCAGGATCAGCACCAGGCTCCAGCTGGAGCTCAGCGCTGATCCTGGGGCTTCTGAGCCCAGAAGAAGCGCCGATCAGCTGGAATGTTGCAGCCTCTCCAGGGTCTTGTGATTTACATTCAGAGGCTTGGCAACTGATTCCTATTTATGACGGTCACAGTGTCCCAGGGTCATGGGAAGTGACCAAAACCTGCTACAACCACCCAGCAGACGGGAGGGGGGAATAAAAACCAAACACCCCCCCACTTCACCCCCGCTGCCAATCCTCAACAGAAATGCTCACAACAATGAAAACCTCGGACAGGAGGAAGAGCACCGCCGGGCGGGCAGGCAGGTGTCTTGCTCGGCTGTGGCTTGGGGGGCACTTTTTTCAGGGCCATTGTCACTTCAAACAGTCACTAAGCGAACTGTTGTAAGTCGAGGACTACCTGTACCTCATCACTTTTTTTCCTTTTTTTTTCTCTTTTTGGTCATCAAGTTTTTGACCCCTTGCTAGGCGACTGGTGGTCCTCGGATGTTGCCATATCCTAAAAGTGGTACAATGGGTGAAAAAGGTTGAACAGCCCTGAGCTAGGGAACATCATCAGCGCTAGGCTTTTCCCACTGTTGAAACGGCGGGCGGACAATGTCCGTGCAAACTGGGGGGAGAGGGGGCCAGGCTGTAGTTCAACTGGTGAGCAATTGCCCTATTCCCTCTCTGTCCAGTTCAGCCAGGCGTGCCAAGACGTCTAGGCCCCACGAAGGGGCCCAAACACCCAGGTAAGGCTGATATTGAGGATCCACTCTTGGTGTTTTGGGTGCACACACACGACGGGCTCCCCGGAAGCATCTTTTTGTCGTTCAGAGGACCACGGTGGGGAGTCCAAGGCCTGTCCTTGACCACGTCTTCTTTTCTTGCTTTCCTCCTCCTTCTCTCTGTGCACCCTCCAACCTTCTCCCCAAACCAGGTCTAACACTCGGGAAAACCTGACCGAAATTGACACAAACAGAAATGTCACGCCCGGGAAAGCACAAGTCCCTGTCACGCCTGGTGCACCCAAGTAGGTGGCTTTTATTTGGTTTCTCTCTCTCTCTCTCTCTCTCTCTCTCTCTCTCTCTCTCTCTCTCTCTCTCTCTCTCTCTCTCTCTCTCTCTCTCTCTCTCTCCTCTCTCTCTCTCTTTTTTTCTCTCCCAGGACCTGGGCGGTTGTGTGCATGCACAGTCCGGCACGTAATCCCGTGAGGTCGGTTATCATTAAAACACCCAAGCCTTGTCATCTGTTGGGAAAGCAGGAAGAAGACTGGAGGTTTTACGACGGTCGCAGAGTCCCGGGGGGGTGTGGTGGTGTCACCTGATCCGCTTTTGCAAAGTCAAGGGGGGGGAAACAGGTTTCACTTAACAACCGGGTTATTTGCTTATCAGCTGCAGGGATTCCCTTAACAACGGTGGCCAGAAAAGTCGTAAAATGGGGCTAAACTCACTTAAGAAATGTTTTCTCTTAGCCACAGAGCTTCTGACCTCAGTTGTATCCGTTAAGTCGAGGACTCCCTGTTTTGGGCATGAAAAATCAGCTTGGGTGGCTTTGTATTTGTCACTCTGAAATCTATCATCTCCTGTTCCTGGTTGACATAATAAGAATAGAATAGAATAGAATAGAATAGAATAGAATAGAATAGAATAGAATAGAATAGAATAGAATAGAATAGAATAGACGGGAAAGAACTGGAGAAGATAACAAAATACAAAGACCTACAAATAGAAATAGAAAGACTGTGGCAAAAGCAAGCAAGGGTAGTACCAATAGTCATAGGCGCCTTGGGTGCAATCCCAAAACAACTGGAGCACCACTTGGATACCATCATCGGCATTGACAGATCCGCCATTAGTCAATTGCAAAAGGCGACCTTACTAGGAACTGCTTCCATCCTGCGACGAGATCTGTAATACCATCAAACATCCACATCTGCCTACCCCAGGTCCTTGGGAAGGACTCGATAGCTAGACAAAATGCCAAATCCAGTCTGAACATCTGGCTGACTCTGCGATGATCCTCCATAATAATAATAATAATAATAATAATAATAATAATAATAATAAATAGAAACATCAGAAAATTTGTGCAAAGATCGATGGCACAATGGAAGACACAGTTGCAGATCAATGGTGAGAAACTGGGAGAGGTTAATATCAAGAGAGGGATATTTCAAGGAGATTCATTATCACCATTACTATTTGTTATTGCACTGTTTCCTCTGTCAACAATATTGAATAACTCAGGACATGGCTATCAAACATCAAAAACATCTGCTAGACTATCCCACCTCCTTTACATGGATGATCTGAAGCTGTATGGAAAAACATCATTTGAAATAGAATCGCTGCTCAACACTGTCCGTATATATAGCCAAGATATTGTAATGGAGTTTGGCTTGGACAAATGTGCCACACTTACTATCAAACAAGGAAAAATAGTGAAAACTGAAGGAATCAAGATGCCCCACAAAAATAACATTAAGAGTCTGGATGAGGAAGAGTACTACAAATACTTGGTTATCCTTCAAGCTGACAACATCAAGCACACTGAAGTCAAGAAAAAGATTAGAAGTGAATACATCAAGAGAGTGAAGAAGATCTTAAAGTCCAAACTCAATGGAGAAAATACCATAAAGGCAATCAATACCTGGGCAATTCCAGGCATTAGGTACACAGCTGGAATAGTGGACTGGACTCAAGCAGAACTAAAAGCAATGGATAGGAAGACCAGAAAAATAATGACAATGAATCATGCCCTTCATCCACGCAGTGACATTGATAGACTTTATCTACCAAGGCAAATAGGTGGGCGTGGAATGCTACAAGTACATCAGATGGTTGAAGAAGAAAAATGGCTTTGGAAGAATATCTGAAGAACAATGATGAAGATGCACTGAAATTAGTATATCAGGAAGGTTTACTAACTACTGGAGAGACCAAAGTGGCCTACAAGAAAGACCAAATGAAGAACAGAATAGAGGCATGGGAAGACAAAGCACTACATGGCCACTACATGAAAAAAATAGCTGGGAAAGCAGATAACAATAAAACCTGGCAATGGCTAAGAGCAGGAAAATTGAAGAAAGAGACCGAGGGACTAATTCTGGCTGCACAAGACCAAGCCTTAAGGACAACTGCATACAAAGTCAAAATTGAGAAGACAGCAACAGACAGTAAGTGCTGCCTATGCAAAGAAGCTGAAGAAACAGTGGACCACTTGGTAAGCTGTTGCAAGAAAATTGCACAGACTGACTACAAGCAGTGGCATGACACAGTAGCAACAATGGTGCATTGGAAGATCTGCAAAAAATATCATTTGCCTGTAAGCAAAAACTGGTGGGATCATAAAATAGAGAAAGTCATAGAAACTGATAAAATTAAACTGCTCTGGGACTTCAGAATTCAAACAGACAAGCACCTGCAACATAACACCCCAGACTTAACAATTGTCAATAAGAAAGACAAAAAAGTCTGGATAGTGGACGTGGCAGTGCCTGGAGACAGCAGAATAGACGAGAAAGAACTGGAGAAGATAACAAAATACAAAGACCTACAAATAGAAATAGAAAGACTGTGGCAAAGCAAGCAAGGGTAGTACCAATAGTAATAGGCTCCTTGGGTGCAATCCCAAAACAACTGGAGCACCACTTGAACAACATTGGCATTGACAAATTCGCTATTAGTCAATTGCAAAAGGCGGCCTTACTAGGAACTGCTTCCATCCTGCGACGATATCTGTAATACCATCAAACATCCACATCTGCCTATCCCAGGTCCTGGGTAAGGACTCGATAGGTAGACAAAATGCCAAATCCAGTCTGAACATCTGGCTGACTGTGCGATGATCCATATAATAATAAAGTTGGAAGGGGCCTTGGAGGTCATCTAGTCCAACCCCCTGCTCAGTCAGGAAACCCTATACCATTTCGGATAAATGGCTGTCCAGTCTCTTCTTAAAGGGAGGAAGTTTCTCCTTAGTTCCAGGTTGCTTCTCTCCTTGATGAGTTTCCATCCATTGTTTCTTGTCCTGCCTTCAGGCGCCTTGGAGAATAGCTTGACTCCCTCTTCTTTGGGGCAGCCCCTGAGATACTGGAAGACTGCTATCATGTCCCCCCTCGTCCTTCTCTTCATTAAATTAGACAGACCCAATTCCAGCAGCTGTTTAACTATGTTAAACCAGGGGTTTTCAAACCTGGCCCTTTGATGACTTGTGGACTTCAACTCCCAGAAGTCCTCAGCCAGGCACACCAGGCTGTGGAATTCTGGGAGTTGAAGTCCACAAGTCATCAAAGGGCCAAGTTTGAAGACCCCTGGTATAAAGGTATAAAGCAAGTGTAGTTTTTAAGATACAAAGCCAAAGAAAGCTCTCCAGGCTTTCTGTAACGAGATGGGTATGAAGAACATCTGAAGTCACCTTGATCTATTGCAGGTTCTCCAAATTTTGGCAACTTTAAGACTTGTGGACTTCAACTCCCACAATTCATGGCTGGCTGGCTGGGGAATTCTGGGAGTTGAAGTCCACAAGTCTTCAAGTTGCCACGTCTTCAAGTTGCAGACCATGTTTGGAGAACCCTGAGCTATATCAAAATGTTTCTCAACGTCTACTTTACGATGGGTGGTATCCGAAGCAGAACATCCAGATTCAGTCACACTTTTTGTTCCATCCAGTATTAACTTTGTGATCGCTAAAGCTTCCTCTTCTCGCTATGTACCTGAAATGGACAGTGATTTATATTTACATGTTACTTATGTGTGAGGGTGTAGGTTTATACACATGTATACAGCACGTTTCAATGTGTGTTATGTATGTGTACACTTTGGAGAGCAAGCAATGAAATTTCATTTTTAATCTGCGCCATTGGGCCCACAGGAAAAAAAATTACAATAATAGCTATCTATCTAAATCTCAACTTCCAAATTCCCCAGCTAACAGGCTTTAAGATGGATGGAGTTCAATTCCCAGAATTCTCCCACCCAGTATCCTTTACGTTGGGTAGACTTTGGTTCCCAGAATTCCCCAGCTAGCAGGCTTGAAGATGGGAGTTCAATTCCCAGAATTCCCCCATCCAGTATCCTTTAATAATAAATAATAAAAAAGTTGGAAGTGACCTTGGAGGTCATCTAGTCCAACCCCCTGCTCAGGCAGGAAACCTGACTGGCTGTCCAGTCTCTTAAAAACTTCCAGGGTTGGAGCATTCACCGCTTCTGGAGGCAAGCTGTTCCACTGGTTAATTGTCCTCACTGTTATTCCTCCTTAGTTCCAGGTTGCTTCTCTCCTTGGTTAGTTTCCATCCGTTGCTTCTTGTCCTGCCTTCAGGCGCTTTGGAGAATAGCTTGACTCCCTCTTCTTTGGGGCAGCCCCTGAGATACTAGAAGACTGCTATCATGTCCCCCCTCGTCCTTCTCTTCATTATTCATTATTTCCCAGAATTCCCCAGCTAGCAGGCTTTAAAATGGGAAGAGTTCAACTCCCAGAATTCCCTAGCCAGCTATAGGTAGAGGAGGAAGACCTTCCTCCGGGTGGTCTTCCGTTACCGGAGGGGGGTCTTGAAATGCACGCTGCCTCTGTGCAGCTGATCCATTCTTTGAACGGCGCCGTTGTGTTTCCATCCGCAGGACCAGAGGTGCCTCTATGAAAGGGAAGTCCACGGAGATGCTGGAGTTGGAGAAGATGCAGAAGTTGCAGCAGGAGGTGGTCGAGCTGCGGAGGAAGAACGAGGAGTCTCTCAGAGTGGCCATTGCTGGACCAGGTGAGATCTTGGTGGGGGCCGGAAGACCATTTCCTCTGGCTGATTTCTTGTCAACATTTTATTTCCTTCTGGTTTGAAGATCTTCTAGTACAGGGGTGGGCAACCTTGGCTCTTTTATGACTGATGGACTTCAACTCCCAGAATTCCTGAGCCAGCATGGGGGAACTATGGCCCCCTCATGACTTCAACTCCCAGAATTCCTTAGCCAGCATGGAGGAACTATGGCCCCCTCATGACTGGTGGACTTCCAGAATTCCTGAGCCAGTATGGGGGAACTATGGCCCCCTCATGACTCGTGGACTTCAACTCCCAGAATTCCTGAGCCAGCATGGAGGAACTATGGCCCCCTCATGACTGGTGGACTTCAACTCCCAGAATTCCTGGGCCAGCATGGGGGAATTATTCCCCCCTCACAGCTCGTGGACTTCAACTCCCACAATTCCTGAGCCAGCATGGCTCAGCTTGGAAACCTCTCCCTTTCCCCTCAGCATGGCTGGCTCAGGAATTCTGGGAGTTGAAGTCCACGAGCCATAAAAGGGCCAAATTTGAAGACCCCCGCTCTTAAGTTAAGGCAACCTTGGCTCTTTTATGACTTGTGGAATTCTGGGAGTTGAAGTCCACGAGTCATAAAAGAGCCAAGATTGCCTTTCCCTGTATCTAGTAGCCCAGTTGAGCTGTTTGATCCCTGGTGCTCTCTGAGGTTGAGTTGTTTTCTTGAAGACGTTTTATCACCCAGCTGGGTAATATCATAAGTTGTGAGAGAGGAGGGCTGTTTGCGGAGTGAAGGAGGAGGAGCCAACTGGGGTGCCCTCTTGCTGTGTTTTCTTGAAGACGTCTCATGAGCAGACTAGGTAACCACATCAGTTTGAGAAGAGAGTGGAGTTTGCAGAAAGAAGGACTGTGGGGTCCTCTGAGCTTGTTTGATTTCTTGTAGACCAGGGCTTTTCAACCAGTGGGACGGGTACCACCTGTGGTCCATTGGCACCTGGCAGGTGGGACGCGACCATCCTAGAAAAGGGGCAGCGGGGGAGGGGAATGGGCTGAACCGGTGGCAGCACCGCATAAGCCTGAGCGAGAGACGGCTGGAGCTGCAGGGCTGTCAGGGCTCAGCGGAAGCGCCAGGATCAGCGCCAGGCTCCAGCTGGACCTTGGCACTGATCCTGGCGCTTCTGCTGAGCCCCGAAGAAGCACCAATCAGCCGGAATGTTGCAGCATCTCCAGGGTCTTGTGATTTACATTCAGAGGCTTGGCCACTGATTCCTATTTATGACGGTCACAGTGTCCCAGGGTCATGGGAAGTGACCAAAACCTGCTGCAACCACCCAGCAGACGGGGGGAATAAAAACCAAACACCCCCCCCACCCAACCCCCTCTGCCAATCCCCAACAGAAATGCTCACAACCATGAAAACCTCGGACAGGAGGAAGAACGCGGCTGGGCGGGCAGGCAGGGGTCTTGCTGGGCTGTGGCTTGGGGGGCACTTTTTTCAGGACCATTGTAACTTCAAACAGTCACTAAGCGAACTGGACTACCTGAACTTCATTGCTTTTTTTCCTTTTTCCTTTTTTTTTTTTTTTGGTCATCAGGTTTTTAACACCTCGCTGGTGGTCCTCGGATGTTGCCCTATCCTGAAAGTACAATGGGTGAAAAGGTTGAAAAGCCCTGTTGTAGACCACGGGTCGGCAACCTGCGGCTCCGGAGCCGCATGCAGCTCTTTAAGCCGGCTCCTGCAGCTCCCAGCCCATGTGCATTTCCTCCCCCCCCCAAAATGTGTACTTGCCCCCCAAAAAAGGGATTAAAAAAGTTCAACCAATCCATTCAAACTTCTCACGGAAAAAACCAACAAACTTGTGAACTTTCAATGGATGGGTTGACCTGCTTTGGTTTGTGGGACTGCCCAGAAACCTCTTCTGTTCTCTTCAGTCTGCAAGGGACTGTTGGAAAGGTGAGTAGGCCTTTTTCTCTGGGGACTTGGCAGTAGGCCTGTTTTCTTTCTTTCTTTCTCTTTTTTCTTTCCCTCCCTCCCTCCTTCCCTCCCTCCTTCCTTCCTTCCTTTCTTCCTTTTCTTCCTGTTTTCTTACTTCCTTCCCTCCTTCCTTCCTTCTTTCCTTCCTTCCTTTTCTTTCTTTCTTTCTCTTTTTTCTTTCCCTCGCTCCCTCCTTCCTTCCTTCCTTTTCTTCCTGTTTTCTTTCTCTTTTTTCCTTCCCTCCCTCTCTCCTTCCTTCCTTTTCTTCCTGTTTTCTTTCTTTCTCTTTTTTCCTTCCCTCCCTCTCTCCTTCCTTCCTTTTCTTCCTGTTTTCTTTCTTTCTCTTTTTTCCTTCCTTCCCTGCCTCCTTCCTTCCTTCCTTCCTTCCTTCCTTCCTTCCTTCCTTCCTTCCTTCCTTTTCTTCCATTTTTCTTTTTTCTTTCTCTTTTTTCCCTCCCTCCCTCCCTCTCTCCTTCCTTCCTTCCTTCCTTTTCTTCCATTTTTCTTTTTTCTTTCTCTTTTTTCCCTCCCTCCCTCTCTCCTTCCTTCCTTCCTTCCTTTTCTTCCTGTTTTCTTTTTTCCCTCCCTCCCTCTCTTCTTCCTTCCTTCCTTCCTTCCTTCCTTCCTTCCTTCCTTCCTTCCTTCCTTCCTTCCTGTTTTCTTTCTTTCTCTTTTTTCCTTCCTTCCTTTATAAAATAAAAGGTAAAAAAGGACATATGCAGTCTTATCTTCATTTTAGATATCCAAAGGGTTTTGCGGCTCCCGGTGTTTTGTTTTCGGTGGGAAACGGGTCCAAGTGGCTCTTGGAGTGTTTTGGGTTGCCTACCCCTGTTGTAGACGTTTCATTTCCCAACGAGGTAACCTTTTCAGTGCTGGAAGGGAATGAGGTTTCCTCTTGGTCGATAGACGATTCCTTCCACCACTGATGACGTTCCCTAGTTGGGTCATGAAATGCCAGCAAGAAAATAACCCAGCTCAGAGAGCACCAGGGAGGCCACAGTCCTCTTCCTCCCTTGTAGCACTGCTGATGCTTCCTAACTTGATCTTAGTATGTCTGCAAAAAACAACAACAAAAAAAATCCCCACTGTACAGTCCTTTCCCCCTCTTCTTCCTCCTCAAACCTTCCCCTGTCCTAGCACTGATTATGTTCCCTAGCTGGGTCATGAGACGTCTGGAAGAAAACAACCAGGCTCAGGGTGCTCAGGACCTCACAGGGGTGGTCCTCCTCCTCCTCCTCTCTGCAAACCCTCTCTCTTGTAGCACTGATGATGTTCCCTAGTTGGGTAATGAAATATCTGCAAGAAAACAGCGAAGCTCAGAGAGCATCAAGGACCCCACAATCCTCTTCCCCTACCCCCCCTCTTCTTCTTCTTCCTCTTCCTCCTCCTCCACATCCCACTTCCTTCTAGCACTGATGATGTTACCTAGTTGGGTCATGAAACATTTGCAAGAAAACAACCAAACTCAGAGACCACCAAGTGCTCCTCCACAGCTTCTTCTTCTTCTTCTTCTTCTTCTTCTTCTTCTTCTTCTTCTTCTTCTTCTTCTTCTTCTTCTTCTTCTTCTTCTTCTTCTTCTTCTTCTTCTTCTTCTTCTTCTTCTTCTTCTTCTTCTTCTTCTTCTTCCTCTTCTTCTTCTTCTTCTTCTTCCTTCTTCTCCTCTTCTTCCTCCTCCTCCTCCTCCTCCTCCTCCTCCTCCTCCTCTTCTTCTTCTTCTTCTTCTTCTTCTTTTCTTCTTCTTCTTCTTCTTCTTCTTCTTCTTCCTCCTCCCTTCCTCCCTCCCTCCCTCCACATCCCACTTCCTTCTAGCACTGATGATGTTACCAAGTTTGGATCATGAAACATCTGCAAGAAAATCACCAAGCTCACAAGACACCAAGGACCCCACAGTTATCCTCCTCCCCCCCCCTCCTCCTCTCTGCAAACCCTCTCCCTTGTAGCACTGATAATGCTCCCTAGTTGGCTAACGAAATGCCAGCGAGAAAATAACAAAGCTCAGAGAGCGTCAAGGACCCTACAGTCCTTCCCCTCTCCTTCCTCTTCCTCTCCTTCCTCCTCAAACCTCCCTCCCTTCTAGCCCTGATGATGCTCCCTAGCTGGGTCGTGAGATGTCTGCAAGAAAAACAAACCGAGCTCAAAAGACCACAAACGGACCTCGCTCGCCTTCGAACGTTGGCCCCGGCTGAGTTCTCCGGTCTCTCTTTCTCCCGGCCAGGGCACCCCGTGAAGGCGGCCAGCCACATCACCAAGCCGATGGATTTCCACTTCTGCACCGACGAGCGGATCAAGCAGCACAGCGAAGGCCAGCCAGCCGCGGAGTACAAGGAGCTGGATTTCACAGCTGCCCTCAGGAAACACCCGCCTTCTCCGGTGAGACCCTTCGGCTGGGGTTAATAATAATAATCATGATGATGATAAAGTGGGAAGGGACCTTGGAGGTCATCTACTCCAGCCCTGCTCTGTGTGAGTCCTTGTTACGCTCCCAAGGAGAAACCCCTCTTCCAACTTAGCAGGCTGGAACCGCAGGAAAAAAACAATCCCCTTTTATTATTCACAGACCTGAGTCAGTGTCCAAGGCAAACAAACACAGCTCACACAAACTCGATTCCTGAACACAAACGGCCACCAGCCCCTCCCACACCTTCCCTTTTATGATGCAGCCCGGGCGTGGCTTCCCAATGCCTTCTCCTTTGCCTTTGGAGCTGCCCCATTGCATCCCTCCGTCCTACTCGCTTCTCTTGCCTGTGCATTTGTGCATCCGGGATTTGCCCCAGCTGTTCTTCATCACTGTCCAACTCAGGCTCCCAGCAAAGCTGCGTCTCAGCCTGCGCGCGAGTAGAGAGGCCAGGCTCCTCGTCCGACTGTAAGTCTTGGAGCTCCTCAGAGCCTTCCTCTGACTCTGATGTCACTCCAGGCCCTTCCTCCTCCTCCTCCTCCTCCTCTGATTCCTCAGACTCAGCTGCCGGGTCCAGTGGCTAGCGAGAAATCACAACAAACCCCCTGCTCGGGCAGGAAAGCCTATCGTACCATTTCAGACAACGATATGGGCTGAAGTGCCACTAGAGAACAGCTGCGAATTGCCCAGGGGATGATCAGTAGGGCAGAGTTGGCGTGGAGAAATGCGAGAAGGCTGCTCCTCAACTTAACGACCAAAGGCTGCTCCTCAACTTAACGACCAAAACTGGGCCCTAATTTCCTCAGTGAGAGGTTTGCTAGCTGTGTTTGGCTCCCTTTCACAACTTTGCTTGCCGTCGTTGTTGACTGAATCCCTGCACAAGTAGTCCTCGACTGAACGAGCGTAACGGAGCCCCAAAATTTTACGTCGCTAAGCGAGACATTTGTTAAGCGAGTTTTGCCCCTCCCCCTTTTATGACTTTTTCGGGCCACGTCTGTTGAGCGAATCGCTGCCGTTGTTAAACCAGTCACACGGTCGTTAAGCGAATCCGGCTTCCCCTTGCACTTTGCTTGTCGAAAAGTCGCAAAAGGGGGGGAGGAGAATTGCGTGACGCTGGGCGACACCAAAACTGTCATAAACACGAGTCAGTTGCCAAAGTGCCTGGATTTTTGATCACGTGACCACGGAGAAGCTGTAGTCGTCATAAGTGTGAAAGACAATCCTAAGTCCCTTTTTTCCACTGCTGTTGTAACTCTGAGCGGTCGCTAAACGAACCGTTGTAACGTCCCTTCCCCGCGTCGAAAAGGAGAATTGCGAAACCTCCCGTAAGCTGGTCCCAAATTGCCTTCATGCATTCTTAGAATAAGAGGCGGATTTTCACGGATTTGTCTCTTCGTCCCCCACTTCTCGTCCTCTTGTCATTTTTCGGCCTTCTCCGGAGTTGCGGCCGGCTTAAATTTCACTTGCGGTGAGCTGGAAGAAGGGTGTGTGTGTAGATTAACAGGCTAATCCAGTGGTTCTCAATCTTTTTAATGCCGCAACCCCCAACCGGTCGTAAGTCAAGGATTAAACCGGTCGTAAGTCAAGGACTACCAAACCGGTCATAAGTCGAGGACTTTCCCTGCCCGGGAGCGCCGCACATGCGTGGTGCCGCCCCCTGCGCCGGCCGAGGCGTAGCTGGCAAGCGGCAGAGATGGAGCAGGCCGACCACCGGCTGGGCCACCAGCTGGCCCAGCCTAAGGGAGGTAAGGCACCCGCCGGAAAAGGGGGAAAAAATGGCGGACAGCCTTGCTTGGCGACCCCCGTGAAATGGTCGATCGACCCCAAATGGGGTTGCGACCCATAGGTTGAGAACCGCTGGGCTAATCGAATCTAAACGGGCCAGCTCCCGCTTTGATCGCGATAGAAAAAGACGCTTGATCAAGAAACTGTACTAGCTTAACTATGCGATCATAGACATTAAGAGCAAAAGAGAGGAAGTATTTGAGGTTGAAGCAAGAGAAAATTTGATTACTACATTTAAAGACGTTTGGAAATGAATAGGAAATAAGAATGTTATACTTGTGTTATCAGTTAGCTGGCGTAAGATGGCGAGAAATAGAATATATTCAAATAGATAAGATGTGCATTCCGAATATTAGATTTTGTGATGAATTGCGATCGCGGGAACTTCGGTTATTTAAAATTTGGAAATTCTAAAGGTGAAAGTTAAATATTAATGGGAAATTAAAAATTGGGGAAAAGGAATTAGGACATTGATGGTCCATAAAAATGTTAAAACAGTATGGGTATGTATAAGCCCAAAATTACTGATGAATGTAAGAATGTCACTTTTATTTCATCGATTTAATAAGAATTGGATTAGTTTAAACAGGAGACAGTAAATGCTAAGGGGAAAAGAGAGGGAAAAATTAATGTAGTAGCTTGAGACTTGAACTAAAGATACTTGTGTGTCGTTGTACGATCGATTAACCCAGCCGCCACGTTGCTTTTTAAAGACTTAAATGTAAAACGTTAAAGACTTAAATGTAAAACATTAAGAAAAAAAAAAAGAAATCCCATAATCACTGTCTTTTTTTTGTCTTTTTTTTTTTACACAGTCCCGGGTGTCAAAGGGACCCACAATCCCGAAGCCGTTTAACCTCTCCTGCGGGAACAAGCGGAAACTGGACGAGGCTCCCGCCGAATACGTCCCGTTGGCCCAACAGGTGGAAAACTTTCAGAAACGCACACCTCAACGGTACCATCTGCGGAGCCGGAAGGAGGAAGAAGGTAAGAATCCGTTTCTGGCAACCTCTGTCGCAGGCTGTGTTACGGGAGCCCAGCCAATGGTGGCTTGCTCCATCAATCGGAGTCAGCTAACGAGGGCTCTGAATGGTTTGGGAAGCGTTTTGTCCTGTTTCCGACAGATGAAAACTCTTCAAAGAACTTTGAGGCATTGTTTACCTTAAAGAATCTTTATTTTGAGTAGCAACACCTCGGCACTAACACAATCGAAGCCAAAAACTGGATTCCCCTCACCTGAGCACATAGTATCACAGCACAATTCCCTCCTCCAATTAACCGTCATAAATCACATTCTCCAACTAGCTTGAAATGCAGGCCTTCCCTCCTTTACTCCAGCCCGCCAATTCTTATCATCTCTTATTTCAATCACCTTGGTTCTCACGCTAGGTCCAGTATGGTTATGTCTAGCTAAACTCTCATGCGCATTCCTCCCCCTGCCCAGCGTCATCTAACTTTAACTCTTAACTCTAAGAGTAAAACATAAGAAGAAAATGGCTGCATCTCCATCTGTTGTCAAAGCAAAAACATCCGATGTTAGCAGCGTTGACACGTTTACTCTGAACGTTGAACCTGTGCCCGGCTCTAGCTTCCTTTTCTTTCGTGTGTGGGCAAAATGGTGTAGGGTTTCCTGCCTGAGCAGGGGGGTTGCACTAGATGACCTCTAAGGTCCCTTCCAACTTTATTATTATTCTTATAACAGTTGCGATGGGGAACAGGAAGATTAATGCAGGGGGTCTCCAAAGCTGGCAATTTTTAAGACTTGTGGATTTCAGAATTCATGGCTGGTTGGCTGGCTGAGGAATTCTGGGAGTTGAAGTCCACGAGTCATGAGGGGGCCATAGTTCCCCCATGCTGGCTGAGGAATTCTGGGAATTGAAGTCCACCAGTCATGAGGGGGCCATAGTTCTCCCATGCTGGCTCAGGAATTCTGGGAATTGAAGTCCACCAGTCATGAGGGGGCCATAGTTCCCCCATGCTGGCTCAGGAATTCTGGGAATTGAAGTCCACCAGTCATGAGGGGGCCATAGTTCCCCCATGCTACCTCAGGAATTCTGGGAGTTGAAGTCCACCAGTCATGAGGGGGGCATAATTCCCCCATGCTGGCTCAGGAATTCTGGGAATTGAAGTCCACCAGTCATGAGGGGGCCATAGTTCCCCCATGCTGGCTCAGGAATTCTGGGAGTTGAAGTCCATGAGTCATGAGGGGGCCATAGTTCCCCCATGCTGGCTCAGGAATTCTGGGAATTGAAGTCCACCAGTCATGAGGGGGCCATAGTTCCCCCATGCTGGCTCAGGAATTCTGGGAGTTGAAATCCACGAGTCATGAGGGGGGCATAATTCCCCCATGCTGGCTCAGGAATTCTGGGAGTTGAAGTCCACAAGTCATAAAAGAGCCAAGGTTGCCTACCCCTGCCCTATACCACCGGTCTCCAAACCTGGCAACTTTTAAGAATTGTGGACTTCAGCTCCCAGAATTCATGGCTGGCCAGGATTGGAGACCCCAGCTTAAAAGAAGGCACTAAAGGGCCAGCTGCTATCTTCCCATTGTGGAGAGGGGCGTGTTGTTCTCCCAAAGGCCAGCTGTGCATTGTGGGGAAGGGGTTTCCCCTTAGTGGAGAGGATATAAAAGTGTGCTTGAAACAAATCCACACGGGGTGAGGGGCAGGCCGTCCTCCACTTATGACCGATTGAGGCCACAATTTTGGTCTAAATCATGATGGTGGTAGACCTGGTTACCATATTAACCTGATTTTCCAAGGTTTCTTTTTTTTTAATGATTGTTAAGTGAACCTATTGCCCATTTGGTCTGGTGGTTAAGGCTCCAGGCCAGAAAGGGGGAGACCGTGAGTTCTAGTTCCGCCTTAGGCATGAGAATCAGTTGGTGACTTTGGGCCAATCACCAGGAGATGGTGAGTTCTAGTCCCGCCTTAGGCATGAAAGCCAACTGGGTGACTTTGGGCCAATCACCAGGAGGTGGTGAGTTCTAGTGCCGCCTTAGGCATGAAAGCCAGCTGGATGACTTTGGGCCAATCCCCAGGAGACGGTGAGTTCTAGTCCCACCTTAGGCATGAAAGCCGGCTGGTGATTTTCAACCAATCTCCAAGAAACTGGGAGTTCTAGTTCTGCTTTACTCATGAAAATCAACCGGGCGATTTTGTGCCAATGGCCAGGCGAAGGTCAAACTGGCAGTTGAGTGCGCTTTGCTTGTTTTATCCTTCCCTTACATCTAATTTCTTAAATTCAGGGTCACCTTTGGGATGCAATCTTTTTTTGGGGGGGGGGGGGGGAATAAATTGAATGAATAAATCAATACATCGATTTGAATACATTTCTTCCCCCACCGTGTATGTGTCAAACTCGCAGTGCTTAGCCTCCCTCCCTTGGCCTTTTCCTTTCTGATTGGCAGCCTCTGGCTTTTCTCTCTCGGCTGTCTTTGGTGCAGGTCCAAACAGGCCTTTAAAATCCGGACTGACCCACCCCAAAACCCCCCGCCTGGAAACCAGAAGCCGCTCGAGACCCATCACCTGCAAGAGCGCAGCGGAGTTGGAAAACGAGGAAATCTTGAAGCTCCAACAGTGAGTTTTCATTGATGTATGCATGTATGTATTGACTTGTTTGGCTGCCTAACTCCAGTGGACTCTGGGTGGTGAGCAGAACATTCAATCAAAATACGGCTGGAAGGGAGCTTGGAGGTCATCTAGTCGACGGGTCAGCAACCCGCGGCTCCAGAGCCACATGTGGCTCTTTGAGCCTTCTCCTGCGGCTCCCAGTCCTCTTCCACCATTTGCTGAGAGAGAGAGAGACAAAGACAGAGGGAGGCACTTGCGCATCCCTTCTCTCTCTCTGTGTGTGTGTGTGTGTGTGTGTGTGTGTGTGTAAAAAAAGAGAGTGGCCTGAGAGTGGCCTCACACTGTTCTCCGACAAGCTGACAAGCTTATTGGGCAGGGCTCCTGCCTTTGCTGCCTCTCAGCAGGAAGCAGCAGAAAGCAGCAGCGTTCTCTCCCTCTCTCTCTCACACACACACGCGCACACACACACACACACTGAGTGGGGGAAGAGGACTGGCAGACCAAGGGCAGGAGGGAGCCAGCCCAATAAGAATGTGTGTCAGCTTGTCAGAGAATAGCATGAAGCCAGCTTGCCAAGAGAGCAGAAGAGAGAGAGAGAAACTCATGCACAGCAGGCTCTATTTCTTTTTAATTAAAACTCTTCAATCAAGTCCCCCCATCCAGCACGCGCACGTGCACACGCGAGTTTTGTGGCTCCCAGTGTTTTCTTTTCTGTGGGATTCGGGTCCAAGTGGCTCTTTGAGTGTTTGCCGATCCCTGATCTAGTCCAACCCCCTGCTCAGACAGGAAACCCTATCCCAGTGATGGCGAACCTTTTAGAGACCGAGTGCCCAAACTGCAACCCAAAACCCACTTACGCATCGTCGGGTGCCGGGTGGGCGTGGCCCATTGAATGGTGGGTGTGGCCCATTGGGTGGGCGTGGCTGCGGTGGTAACGGCAGACTGGGTGGGACTAAAAGGTTCAATCAATCAATTCCAACTTTGCGAGATCTTTTTTTTTCCCGCGAGAAGTTGAAATTGACTGATTGGACCTTTTTTGTGTGTGTACACGGCGGCGGAGGCCTAAAGCGAAAAGGTTTTATAAAACCCAGCTGAAGGCCTAGGTCCAGGGCAGCGGCGCGCGTGCCCACAGAGAGGGCTCTGCGTGGCACACGTGCCATAGGTTCGCCGCCACGGCGGTAGGAGAAGTCAGTCCGTCAGATAATCTGGTGCCAGGCCATGTAAAGAATCTTTAGTTCTCCTTCCAGAGAGAAGTATTGGAAGAAGGAATTTTTGCCTACTTTGCAGGAATGGTTTCTTAAAGTTTCTTACTTATTTGAAATGGCAAAAATTTCGGCTTTTCTGAAAGATCAATCGCAAGAGAAGTATCTCTTGGTGTGGAAAAGATGGATAAATTTTATACAATATAGGTGTGATATTAGAAAATATTATTTAGCCTTTGAATAATTTATATTTAAAGTTTAAGATATTATTTAGAAGTGTAGAACAGTTTAGTTTTTCTCTTTTTTTCCCCCCTTTTATTAATTTTTTTTTATTTTCTTTTCTTCTTTTTCTCTTTCTGTTTTTTTTATATATATATATATATATATAATGGAGTTAATGCGTTTAACAATTTGTTTATTGAATATAATCATATTTGTTTGTGGTTTATCTGAGTTTATAAGCTTTTTCTACTAAGTTTTAGTTAACTCTGTATCTAGCTCTGGGAAGAATGGGGGAGGGTTGGGAGGGATTGGGAAAGGGGTTTTTATTGTAAAATTGTAAAAATTATAATAAAAAAGAATTTTTAGTTCTCCACCAAGCTGTTGTTGGCTTACTCAAGCAATAATTGGAGGCTTTGAATAAAGTTTCTTGTTGGCTCGTTGGCTGGACCCCCCCCTCTTCAGTCCCCAGAGCCCCCCCGAGGGCCTTCCCGTTGACCATCTGCTCCCACCGTCCAACAGGTACAGGTTCAAGGCTCAGGAGCTCAACCACCGCATCCTGCAGGGCGGGCCCCTCCTGCCCAAGAAGCCCCCCGTGAAAGAGCCGACCAAGCCGATCGGCTTCAACCTGGAAATGGAGAAACGGATCCAGGAACGGGAGACCAAGAAGGTCCAGGAAGAGGAGCCGTTTGAGTTCCACTCCAGGCCCTGCCCGACCAAGATCCTGGAAGACGTGGTGGTAATTGCGGCTGGGTGGCCATCTTCTCAAAAAAAAAAGGGGGGGGGGTATTTTACCCAAGGGGAGGGGAGTCTGGTGATTTCAGTCTTGGATGTTGTGAGAGACAGGCGGTCCTTGACGCACGGTCTTTAGTGCAGGGGTAGTCAACCTTGGCTCTTTTTTGACTGGTGGACTTCAACTCCCAGAATTCCTGAGCCAGCATGGAGGAAGTATGGCCCCCACATGACTCATGGACTTCAACTCCCAGAATTCCTGAGCCAGCCTGGCTCAGCTTGGAAAACTCTTCCTTTCCCCTCAGCGTGGCTGGCTCAGGAATTCTGGGAGTTGAAGTCCACGAGTCATAAAAGAGCCAAGGTTGCCTACCCCTGCCCAAATGTCTGGATTTTGATCATGTGACCATGAGGAAAAGTATGTAAACCAGTGGTAGGCAACCTTGGCTCTTTTATGACTCGTGGACTTCAACTCCCAGAATTCCTGAGCCAGAATGGGCCAGCATGGCCCCCTCATGACTCGTGGACTTCAACTCCCAGAATTCCTGAGCCAATGATGGACTTCAACTCCCAGAATTCCTCAGCCAGCATGGGGGAACTATGGCCCCCTCATGACTCGTGGACTTCAACTCCCAGAATTCCTCAGCCAGCATGGCTCAGCTTGGAAACCTCTCCCTTTCCCCTCAGCGTGGCTGGCTCAGGAATTCTGGGAATTAAAGTCCACAAGTCCTAAAAGAACCAAGGATGCCTACCCCTGCTCAAATGCCTGAATTTTGATCACATGACCCTGAGGAAAAAATATTTAAACCAGGGGTCTTCAAACTTGGCCCCCTCATGACTGGTGGACTCTAACTCCCAGAATTCCTCAGCCAGCCTGGCTCAGCTTGGAAACCTCTCCCTTTCCCCTCAGCATGGCTGTCTCAGGGATTCTGGGAGTTGAAATCCTCGAGTCATAAAAGAGCCAAGGTTGCCTGCCCCTGGTTTAAATATTTAAATATTTTTCCTCATGGTCACGTGATCAAAATTCAGGCATTTGGGCAGGGGTGGAGAACCTTGGCTCTAAACTGGAATAAAATAGAATATAGAAAAGGAATAGAATAGAATAGAATAGAATAGAATAGAATAGAATAGAATAGAATAGAATAGAATAGAATAGAGATAACAGATTGTAGAATGGAATAGAGCTGAATAAAATAGAAAAGAAAATAGAATGCAGAATAGAATAGAATAAAGGAAAGAATAGAATTAGAAATAAGAATAGAATGGAATAGAATAGAATTAGAAATTAGAATAGAGTAGAATAGAAAAGAAATACAGAATAGGGTAGAGCAGAATAGAACATAACAACAGAATAGAAGAGAACAGAATTCTTTATTGGCCAAGTGTGGTTGGACACACAAGGAATTTGTCTCCTGTCCATAAGCTCTCAGTGTAGATACAAATCACAGGTGATAAATCATGATCATAATCAACATAAAAATACATTCATCATAAATCCTAAGATTCAACACTTAGCGATAGCCATAGAATACTAAATAAGCAAACAACACAACTAAATGAAAGAATATAAATCGTAAGATACGAGCAACAAAGTCATACTCCTAAGGAGAGAGGTAACACCTGTGGGATCCACCCGATGCCTCAACTAGACAGAACGGGGAGAGATCCTCGGAATGCAGAGTGATCTTGCTCCGACAAGAGCAGAGTATTCTTCCCATGAAGGCCTAAATTGTGTGTGTGGGAGTGTGTGTGTCTGTGCTTGATTGTAGGAAGACATGCCCATCCTGTCCCCATTTGTGCCGAGAGGGGCGCTGGTCTCCAGCAAGGAATTCCAGGCGGGATTTCTTTGCGGTTGCCGGTAGCGTGGCTGGGTCTTCTCCACCCTGTGGCATCACCAGACTGACGCCCTGGGTCTTTCCACCCTTCCTCCCTTGCAGGGTGTTCCTGAGAAGAAGCAGCTTCCCATCACTGTCCCTAAGTCGCCCGCTTTTGCCTTGAAAAACAAAGTGGGTGCCCTGGTGAGAGAGGAAGCGAAAGAAAAGGTATGTGCTGTGCGCCGGGCCTCGGTTTGGCCTCGGGGGGCTGCTGGGCACCGCTGGGGTATCTCCGCTCATGGCTGAACAGCTGGTTTTCCCCTCCAGCCTGTTCTGAAGCCCTGGTTGATCTCCCTGCGCTGAGGATCTTTACACAGCCTCCCCTGGACTGGCGACTTTGTGTTGAGCGGCCAAAAACATCAACGGCACTGAACAAAGTGATTAACACTCCTCCTCTCCTAAAATGCGCCATTCCCTTCTAGAACTGATGATATTCCCTAGCTGGGTCACGAAATGCCTGCAGGGAAAGCATCCAGCTCAGAGAGCTCCAAGGACCCCCACGGTCCTCCTCCTCCTCTCCACAAACCCCATTCCTTTCAAGCACTGAAGATGTTACCTAGTTGGGTAATGAAACATCTGGAAGAAAACAAGCTCAGAGAACACCAAGGGCCACACAGTCCTCCTCCTCTTCCTGCTCCTCCTCCTCTCGCAAACTCCCCTCCCTTCTAAAATTGATGATGTCTACAAAAAAATCACCAAGCTCAGAGAGCATCAAGGACTTCAGAGTCTTCCTCCTCCTCCTCCTTTGTGCAAATCCCACTCCCTTCTAGCACTGATGATGTTCCCTAGTTGGGTCATGGGACGTCTGCAAGAAAACCACCAAGCTCAGAGAGCCCCAAGGACCCCCACGGTTCTCCTCCTCCCCCTCTTCCCCCTCCTCTCCACAAACCCCATTCCTTTCAAACACTGAAGATGTTACCTAGTTGGGAAATGAAACGTCTGCAAGAAAACAAGCTCAGAGAACACCAAGGGCCACACAGTCCTCCTCCTCTTCCTGCTCCCCCCCCTCCTCCTCCTCCTCTCGCAAACTCCTCTCCCTTCTAGAATTGATGATGTCTGCAAAAAAAATCACCAAGCTCAGAGAGCATCAAGGACTTCAGAGTCTTCCTCCTCCTCCTCCTCCTCCTCTCGCAAACTCCCCTCCCTTCTAGAATTGATGATGTCTGCAAAAAAAATCACCAAGCTCAGAGAGCATCAAGGACTTCAGAGTCTTCCTCCTCCTCCTCCTCCTCCTCTCGCAAACTCCCCTCCCTTCTAGAATTGATGATGTCTGCAAAAAAAATCACCAAGCTCAGAGAGCATCAAGGACTTCAGAGTCTTCCTCCTCCTCCTCCTCTCTATAAACCCCACTCCCTTCTAGCACTGATTATCTTCTAGTTGGGTCGTGAAATGTCTGCAAGAAAACCACCAAACTCAGATAACACCAAGGACCCCACAATCCTCCTCCGCAAACTCCCTTCTAGCACTGATGATGTTCCCTAGTTGGGTCATGAGATGTCTGGAAGAAAACCACCAAGCTCAGAGAACACCAAGGACCCCACGGTCCTCCTCCTCCTCTCTGCACAATGTCCTCCTTCCTAGAACTGATAATATTATCTAGCTGGGTCATGAAATGTCTGCAGGAAAACCACCAAGCCCAGAGAGCCCCAAATTGCCCCCCCCCAGTTCCCCCCTTTCTCTCCTCTCTTACGACCGTTGGAGCATCCCCATGGTCCCGTCCTCAGAATCTGGGCCTTTGACAAACCAGCCCGTATTTACAACGGTTGCACTGTCCCAGGGTCAGGTGATCGCCAGTTGCGACCGTCCCGTTGCAAGGTCCTGCGGGTCATCTGATCCTTGGCCACTGACTCACGGCAGCTGCCGTGTCGCAGGGTCAGCAGACCCCCTTGTGCCAAGCTTTCTGCAAGCCAGGTCAATCGGGGGGGGGGGAGCCAGGTTCACCCAGTAACTGCATGACCATAGCAGGAAAGAGGGTAAAATCAAGGGTGACTCTATCAAATGACCTTCAATGGAAATTCTGGACCCAGGTTTTGGTCATCAGTCAAGGACTACCTCCATTGGGCCTGGCACAGATGCCAGCGTGAACCTGCCCAGGCCTGTCTAGTCTAATGAAGAGAAGGACATGATAGCACAGTTCCAGTATCTCAGGGGCTGCCCCAAAGAAGAGGGAGTCAAGCTATTCTCCAAAGCGCCCAAAGGCAGGACAAGAAGCAACAGGTGGAAAGTAATCAAGGAGAGAAGCAACCAGGAACTAAGGAGAGATTTCCTGACAGTTAGAACAATTAACCAGTGGAACAACTTGCCACCAGAAGTTGTGGGTGCAGGAATTGGGTCGGGAACTGGATATGTCTAGTTTAATGAAAAGAAGGACTGGGGTGACGTGATAGTAGCGTTCCAATATCTCCGGGGCTGCCCCAAAGAAGAGGGAGTCAAGCTATTCTCCAAAGAGCCTGAAGGCAGGACAAGAAGCAACGGATGGAAACTAATCAAGGAGAGAAGCAACACAGAACTAAGGAGAAACTTCCTGACAGTGAGAACAGTTAACCAGTGGAACCACCTGCCTCCAGAAGCGGTAAATGCTCCAACACTGGAAGTTTTTAAGAAGAGACTGGACAGCCATTTGTCCGAAATGGTATAGGGTTTCCTGCCTGAGCAAGGGGTTGGACTAGATGACCTCCAAGGTCCCTTCCAACTTTATTATTTTTGTTGTTATTATTGTTATTATTAGTATTGTTGTTATTAAGACTGGCGTCTCTGTCCCTGGATCTCCCCCAGTAGGTGGGCTGTGCCTTGTCTCCCCTGTTTTCTTTGCTGATGCCGGTCTCTCTTGCAGTTGGAGGACGTGGCCCCCGTGATCAAAGCCAAGCCGATGCCGCATCCAGGGGTGCCCTTCAAACCCAAACCGGCAGAGCCGAGGCTGGTGGAGCCATGCCCGTTCTCATTTGATGCCCGGGACAAGGAGCGGCTGCTTCAGAAAGAGAAAAAAATCGAAGAGCTGCAGAAGGAGGAGGTAGGCGCCCTTTGAAAGAGGCTCTTTTGATGATTGATGATTGCCAAATTTATTTGCCTCCCCCCCTGCCTTGCCAAGGGGCTATAATTAAAAAAAAAGAAAGAAAAATAGAAAAATGAAAGGAGAGTAAACGGAACAGAAATAAAATAATAGAACCATCAAATAAACTGAGAAAGGAGAGAATTGCAGGGAGTCCTCGACTTAACGGCCACCGTCGTTAAGTGAGTCACTGCACAGTTGTGCAACGAGTCACACGGTTGTTAAGTGAGTCCGGCTTCCCCCTTCACTTTGTTTATCAGAAGGTCGCAAAAGGGGATCACATGACCCCCGGGATACGGTGACCGTCGTAAATATGAGTCAGTTGCCAAGCGTCTGAATTGTGGTCCCGTGACCACCCCGGGGATGCTGCAACGGTCATAAGTGTAAAAAAAAATGGTCCTTAGTCACTTTTTTTCAGCGCCATTGTCATTTTGGACAGTCACTAAACGAATGGTTGTAAGTTGAGGACTACCTCAACTTATTAGAGCTGAGGTGGTGCAGCAGTTAGAGTGCAGTACTGCAGGCCACTTTAGCTGACTGTGTTCAGCAGGTCAGCGGTTCAAATCTCACCGGCTCAAGGTTGACTCAGCCTTCCATCCTTCCGGGGTAGGTAAAATGAGGACCCAGATTGTTGGGGGCAATGTAAATATATATATATATATACATTGCTTACTGGTGTACACCGCTTAGAGAGTGCTTGCACTTTTAAAGCGGTATATAAGTCTCATAAATAAATAAATAAATACCTCTAGAAATAACAGTAAGAACAAATAATAATAAACAAGAACTTTATTATAGTCACTTTGAATGTACACCAATTGGCCTACGTCCAAATGAAAGTAATAAAATAAAAAGGAAGGAAAACAGAAGTAAAGTAATAAAACAATAAAATCAACAGCAAAGGAACGCAGTGGGGATAATCACTCAAATCTTTTGGCAGCAAGGGGGATTGAACAGAATAACAGAGCTAGAAGGGACCTTGGAGGTCTTCTAGTCCAACCCCCTGCACAAGTAGGTAACCTTATACCATTTCGGACAAATGGCTGTCCAGTCTCTTCTTAAAAGCGTCCATTAATGGAGCAGCCACAACTTCTGGAGGCAAGGAGTTCCATTGGTTAATTGTCCTCACTGTTATGAAGTTCCTCCTTAGTTGCAGGTTGCTTCTCTCCTTGATTGGTTTCCATCCGTTGCTTCTTGTCCTGCCTTCCGGTGCTTTGGAGAAGAGCTGGACTCCCTCTTCTTTGGGGCAATCCCTGAGATATTTGAAGGCTGCTATCCTGTCCCCCATGGTTCTTTTCAGTAGACTAGACATACCCAATTTCTGCAACCGTTCTTCATATAAATTGTGGGAGACAGGGAGTTCTACTCCTGCCTTAGGTATGAAAGCCAGCTGGGTGACTGTGGGCCAATCACCAGGAGATGGTGAGTTCTAGTCCCGCCTTAGGCAAGAAAGCCCGCTCGGTGACTCTGGGCTAATCACCAGGAGACGGTGAGTTCTAGTCCCGCCTTAGGCATGAAAGCCAACTGGGTGACTCTGGGCCCTTCACCAGGAGACGGTGAGTTCTAGTCCCGCCTTAAGCATGAAAGCCAGCTGGGTGACTTTGGGCCAATCACCAGGAGACGGTGAGTTCTAGTCCCACCTTAAGCATGAAAGCCAGCTGGGTGACTTTGGGCCAATCACCAGGAGACGGTGAGTTCTAGTCCCGCCTTAGGCAAGAAAGCCTGCTGGGTGACCTTGGACTAGTCACTCCCTCTTAGCCCAACCACTCAGGAGAAGGAAAACAGGAGGAAGAATCTACATTGGCTGACTTATTTATAAAACTAATAAAAGCCGGTTAGAAATAAATAAATTAAAAATTACTTGAAACAACCAAAGTAGAGATCAGGGGAGGGAAAAACATTGCAGCCTAACTGATCTGAAGACTTCTCCCCGGGCTGTCTATCCACACAACCGCAGCCGATTCTCGCACCTTGACACTACGGGATGCCTCTTTTTCTCCTGCGCTACGAAAGCCCTCGGATTATTATTTTGCACCGGCCGCCAAAAACTCTGAAAGTGACGTTGGAGAAATCTCGGAGGTCTCTGGCTGGTGTTCTCCACAGAGGCTCCTGTCCCAGTTCCCCCCCCCCTCACACACACACACACACACCCGCAGCCCTGCCACCTGCGTTTCCTGTGGCTCTTTCAACACTTGTGCAAGGAGCTCTTGGCTGCCGGACGGTTCTTGCCGTTTTCGACAATGTCAGGCTGTGATAAGCGAGCGCCAATTTCCACGCGGAACAGCCTCTAAACTTCCCTTATCAGCCTGTTCTCCCCAGTAGCGGTGAATGCGCCAACACTGGAAGTTTTTAAGAAGAGACTGGACAGCCATTTGTCTGAAATGGCATAGGGTTTCCAGCCTGAGCGGGGGGGGGGTTGGACTGGATGACCTCTTAGGTCCCTTCCAGTTTTATTCTGCTTGAAAAGGACCCTGCTTTGTTGAGTCGTTCCCACCACCCTCTTCTCTGAATGGGCCTGCAGCCCTGGGACTCTTCAGCGTTGTAAGGACTCACCCCACTTTGCATCTTAAGAAGACAGAACTCTTGGAATAATTCTTCCAACAGGCATCCTTTATTAAGAGAAAATGGTTGCAGGCATTCTAGACAGGACTTGGGGTCCAAGCTCTCCCATTCGAGGTTTTAAGGGGTTCCCCAGTAGCCCCACCCAATCACCCTCTTCTTCCAGCGACAGTCTCAGGCATAACATTCCCACCCCCTTTTCCTTACTACCGGCTGGATGGAGACTTCAAAGAAAACTACATGAAAGGTAATAGTCCCATTCTTATGGTTAGCTCTTTTGGCAATACACACAACCAGTTCCTTTGAAGTGTACGGAAGGAAGTCAGGGCCATAAAGCCCCTTTGTTCACCCCCTTCCCTTCCTCGTACGGCAGAATCCATAGAAGGCAGAAATGGGGTTTTTTATAATTGATAACTAGAGATGAAATATAATTGGATTCTGACATGCGTCTCTGTTTAGGGCAGGGCTCTTCAAACTTGGCCCCTTTGATGACTGGTGGACTTCAACTCCCAGAAGGCCTCAGCCAGACACGGCGTGCCTGGCTGAGGCCTTCTGGGAGTTGAAGTCCACCAGTCATCAAAGGGGCCAAGTTTGAAGAGCCCTGGTTTAGGCTGTAACCAAACCATGATTCTCTCTTCCCAGCTGCACTGGGATGAAATTAGAACATAGAACATCATCAATGTTGGAAGGGGCCTGGAAAGCAGCCCCCGCCCCAGTGAATCTCTCTCTCTCTCTCTCTCCTTGTCCTGCCTGCAGGTGCCCAAGTTCAAAGCCCACCCGCTGCCTCAGTTTGACCACGTCAACCTGCCCGAGAAGAAGGTAAAGAGCGCCACCAAGCCAGAGCCCTTCCACCTGGCCATCGATGCCCGCGGAGCCATCCGCCAGGAGATGTGGCAGCAGCAGGTAAGGTGAAGCAGTTGGGGCGGGGTGTGTGTGTAGGGTCCGGCTGGTTTGGGAGGTCTTGTTTTTTCTTTTAACCCCCCCCCCCATGAGAAGAATTTGGAGCTGGATTTGGTCCCCCCCCCTGTCCATGTGGGGGTTCAGAAAGGGCTCTGAGAAGGTGGGAACGTGAGCCTCAGATCACAATGAGGGCGTTTTCGATGTTGTTTTCCTCTCCGGGAGAAAACCTTGCAAATCTCCATACTAGATGAATTTACATTTTGGGAATTTAAAAATGTAGGGCCCGAGGTTGCAGAGAGATAAGTTAATTTAGCCTGAAGAGCTTTCTCTTGAAAACCTCCATACATGGGTTGTAAGTGTCATCCAAACCCAATGCTAGCAGGGGGTTGGACTAGATGACCACCAAGGTCCCTTCCAACTTCTCATTATTATTGTTGTTGTTGTTATTGTTGTTAGAGCGTAGAGGCGGCCAGTTATATAAATGAACTCCCGGATCCGGCGTTTTTTACACTCTGACGATGTCGGTAGTTTGGCCGACGAAAGCTTAGTACTTTTGTAGATTAAACAGCTTTGGTTTAAGATTTTTATCCTGGTGTTCGGATACTTTTACTACTGGCCTCGATATGTGTATACCTGGGATTCTTGGTTTTAATGTTATTAAAGATAAACTTTCTGTATATACTCCCTTGACTCGGCTGACAGAGAGGGGAGGAGAGCCTGTGGCTGGGTGGTTAAACAACTGCCTAACATGTAAACTGCCCACGTTCGAATCCCATAAAGGGTATGGCTAACTGATGAGAGCAGAATGAGCTTGAAATGGCCATGTTAGTCTCCCAACTTAATTCTTTAACTCTTTGTATTTGTCCTAAAACTTGTCTCAGCTCCGAAATGGGGTGCTAATGTAGAATATTCTGAAAATTACCTGCATAAAAATTAGTATTTCTCAAAGGTTTCCCACCCACTCCCAATTGTTAGGGCTAAAGAACGTGGACTAAAAATCTGCGCCAAGACATTTTTGTTCAGAGATGCTAAATAGAAATATTAACAACCGGGTTACTAACTTTTAACGACTGCAGTGATCTGCTTAACTAGCCTGGCCAGAGAAGCTGCAGAACGGGGGCACAAACTCGCTTAACGACTGCCTGGGGGCTCTGTTGCGGCCGTAAATCGAGAACTATCCGGATTTTTCTTTCGACGGCTGTCTCCTTCGGACCTGTTCCTCCTAACCGTCTCTTTTTTTCCTCCTCCCCATTTCCCTCCCCCCCCCAGCTGAAGGAAGAGCTGCAGCGCCAGAAGGAAGCCGCCATCTTCAAAGCTCAACCCAGCCAGGTTTTGCACCAGGACCCTTTTGTTCCCAGGAAAGACAGCAAGCTGGCTTCAGGTGAGGCGTCTCCAGGTGTGTGTGGCCCACCTGAGGTGGCCTGGAGGTTTAGAAGAAGAGCCTGGACATCCCTTTGCTTTTTTTTTAATCAAGACGCAACTGGACTTTCTTGTTTTTAATAACAAGGAGAGGAAGAGGAAGGGGAAGAAGAAGAGGAAGGGGAAGAAGAAGAGGAAGGGGAAGAAGAAGAGGAAGGGGAAGAAGAAGAAGGAGAAGGAGTAGGAGTAGTCTGGATAGTGGACGTGGCAGTGCCTGGAGACAGCAGAATAGAGGAGAAAGAACTGGAGAAGATAACAAAATACAAAGACCTACAAATAGAAATAGAAAGACTGTGGCAAAAGCAAGCAAGGGTAGTACCAATAGTCATAGGCTCCTTGGGTGCATCCCAAAACAACTGGAGCGCCACTTGGACACCATCATCGGCATTGACAAATTCGCCATTAGTCAATTGCAAAAGGCGGCCTTGCTAGGAACCGCTTCCATCCTGCGACGATGCCTGTAATACCATCAAACATCCACATCTGCCCATCCCAGGTCTTTGGGAAGGACTTGATAGGTAGACAAAAATGCCAAATCCAGTCTGAACATCTGGCTGACGATGATCAATAATAATAATGATAATGATAATAAAGAAGGAACCTCGGAGATCATCTAGTCCAACCCCCTGCTCAGGCAGGAAACCCTATACCCTTTCAGACAAATGGCTGTCCAGTCTCTTCTTAAAAACTTCCAGTGTTGGAGCATTCACCGCTTCTGGAGACAGGCTGTTCCACTGGTTAATTGTCCTCACTGTCAGGAAGTTTCTCCTTAGTTCCAGGTTGCTTCTCTCCTTGATGAGTTTCCATCCGTTGCTTCTTGTCCGGCCTTCAGGCGCTTTGGAGAATAGCTTGACTCCCTCTTCTTTGGGGCATCCCCTGAGATACTGGATCACTGCTATCCTGTCCCCCCTTGTCCTTCTCTTCATTAAATTAGACAAACCCAATTCCGTTCGTGACATGTTTTAGCCTGCAGTCAAGAAGCTTCTTTAGCAGGCGGACTTCTCCACTCTGGGCCGGCAGGCTGCAGCTGTTGCCGGACACCATCGGCCCCCGTGCGCTCACCGCTGTTTGTGCTGCCCACGATTCCCCCCTTCCCGAGTTTATTTTTTGGGTAGGGCTTATATTAATCCCACCCCCCCACCCCAAAAAAAAATCAGACTCGGGCTTATTTTGGGGGGGTGGGTCTTATTTTGGGGAAAATCTGGGAGTAGGAAACCAAAAGCGAAGTTATTTTGAAATGGAACGTGTTGGTGCCCTCATCCGCCATCCCTTCCCCTTTGAGCTTCGTTAGCTTTGAATATCATCTCCCTCTCAACAGTTCCTCTTTCTCAACTCCGTGCCTCTCCTTTTTGCTTCTGCAGTGCCCGATCACTTCGAGCTGGCCACGGAACGGCGGGCCAGGGAGCGCCAGGAGTTCGAGAAGCGCCTAGCCGAGCTGGAGGCAGAGAAGGCGCGGCTGCAGGAGGCGGCGCAGCGCGTCGAGGAGGAGCGGGAGAAAGAAGAGATGGCGAAGCTCCGCGAAGAGCTGGTAAACTCGTAAGGGAAGGACGGGGTCTTTCCGCCTGCCTCTCTTTCCGGGATCTTCCGGTTCGCTCCTTGGAGGCAGCGGAAGTGCAGTTACTCCTCGATTTACAGCGGTCCGTTCAGTGACGGCTCAAAGTTACAACGGCGCTGAAAAAAAGGGACTCCCAACTGTTCTCCACACTTACAACCGTTGCAGCGTCCCCGTGGTCACGTGATCAAAATTAATATTATAATAATAATAAAGTTGGGAAGGGGCCTTGGAGGTCATCTAGTCCAACCCCCCCTGCTCAGCTAGGAGAACCTACGCCATTCAGGACACGTGGTTGTCCAGTCTCTTCTTAAACACTTCCAGTGTTGGAGCGTTCACCGCTTCTGGAGGCAGGTTGTTCCACTGGTTAATTGTCCCCACTGTCAGGAAGTTTCTCCTTAGTTCTAGGTTGCTTCTCTCCTTGATGAGTTTCCATCCGTGGTTTCTTGTCCTGCCTATACTCGGCAACTGATTCGTATTTATGACGGTCGCAGCCTCCCTGGGAGGGTCACGTGATCCCCTTTTGCGACCTTCCGACACGCAAAATCGGCCGGGGAGCCGGATTCCCTTCACAACCGTCTTCTTAACAACTGCAGTGATTCCCTTAACAACTGCAGCACAATATATGGTGCCCTGGGGCACGATTCATTTAAGAACCGTCTTAGGAAGTGAAATATTAGGCTCAATTGTGGTTATAAGTCAAGGACTTGCCCATCATTATTACTGGTTTGGTCCTCTATTTTCGAGGGCGCAACCCGTCGCAAACAGGAACCGGTTGCCCAGCATCCGGATTTTGATCCCCTGACCGCGGGGAGGGGGGCGCTGTAACGGTCGTAAGTGTGAAAAACCGGTCACAGCCCGGTGGAAGGTGCCCAGGCTGCAAAACATTTCTTGAGAGCGACGCTACAGGTAGATCCTCAACCTACGCCCACAGTGGAGCTCACAATTTCTGCTGTTGAGGGAGATGTGTTAATTTTAGTTTTGCCCCATTTTACGACCTTGGCACGGTTGTTAAATGAAACGCTGCAGTTATTCAGTGAGTCACATGGTTATAAGCGAATCTGGCTTCCCCCCCCATGGGCTTTGCTTGTCAAAAGGTCCCAAAAGGGGATCGTCACCTGACTCCCGGGACGCTGCGACCGTCGTAAGTGCGAGTCAATGGCCGAGCGTCTGAATTTTGATCGTGGGGGAGGCTGCAAAGGTCGTAACCGTGAGAAACGGTCCTAAGTCCCTTTTTTTCAGTGCCGTCGTAACTTGGAGCGGTCACTAAATGAACTGTTGTTAAGTCGAGAGCTCCCTGTATTTGCACAGAGGCAGCATTAATAGCAAAGGGTCCGCAACCTCCGGCCTGTGGACCGGTTCCGGTCCGTGGCTTGTTAGGAACTGGGCAGCGCAAGCGGCCGGCCAGATGCTTCATCTGTGCATGCGCAGAGTCTAGATTGTGCACAAAAGCATTCTTTCCCCCCCTACCCGCCCCTGGTCTGTGGAAGACCGTTTTCTTTCCCAAACTGGTCCCCGGTGCCCAAAATGTTGGGGACTGTTGATGGATATAGCATGCTGGCTGGGGGATTCTGGGAATTGAAGTCCACCTGTCTTAAATTGGCCGAGGTTGAAAAAAACACCGCTTTGAAGTGTGTCTTCAGAATTTCATGTTTAATGTCTGCCACTGTGCTGACAATTAAAAAATGAGAGTAAAGATTCTCGCCTCTTCTCCTTCCTTTTTATTTTAAATTTTCTTCTCTCCTGTCTTCTCACCCCTCCCCTCCTTATTTTATATTTCCTCCTCTTCTCCTTCCTTCTTATTTTATATTTTCTTCTCTCTTCTCTTCTCCTCTCTTCTCCTCTCCTCCCCTCTTCTTATTTTAAATTTTCTTTTCTCCTCTCTTCTCACCCCTCCCCTGCTTATTTTATATTTCCTCCTCTTCTCCTTCCTTCTTTATATTTTCTCCTCTCCTCTCCTCTCCTCTCCTCCCCTCCCCTCTTCTTATTTTATATTTTCTTCTCTCTTTTCTTTTCTCACCCCTCCCTCCTTATTTTATATTTCCTCCTCTTCTCCTTCCTTCTTATTTTCTCTTCTCCTCTCCTCTCCTCCCTCTTCTTATTTTATATTTTTTTCTCTCACCCCTCCCTCCTTATTTTATATTTCCTCGTCTTCTCCTTCCTTCTTATTTTATATTCTCTCCTCCCCTCCCCTCCCCTCTTCTTATTTTATATTTTCTCTTTTCTTTTCTCACCCCTCCCTCCTTATTTTATATTCTCTCCTCTCCTCCTTCCTTCTTATTTTATATTTTCTTTTCTTTTCTCTTCTCTTCTCATCTCTCCCTCCTTATTTTATATTTCCTCCTCTTTTCCCTCCTTCTTATTTTATATTTTCTTCTCTCTTCTCTTCTCCTCTCTTCTCTTCTCCTCTCCTCTTCTTATTTTACATTTTCTTCTCTTTTTTCTTTTCTCACCCCTCCCTCCTTATTTTATATTTCCTCCTCTCCTCTTTCCTTCTTATTTTATATTTTCTTCTCTCCTCTCAGCCCTCCCCTCCTTATTTTATACTTCTCTTCTCCTTCCTTATTTTATATTTTCTTCTCTCTCCTCTCCCCTCATTTTATACTCCTCTCCTCTTTTCCTTCCTTCTTATTTTATATTCTCTTCTCTCCCCTCCCCTCCCCTTCTTGGTTGATATTTCCTCCTCTCCTCTTCTCCATATTTTATATCCCTCTCCTCGCCTCTGCATCTGGTCTTGGGTCTTCAGCAAGCACCTCCTTCGGCAGCAGGCAAGGCTGCCCTGGGGACCTCACCCTCAGCCAGGTGTCCCTTTTCTCTCCTTCCAGGTGCACAAGGCCAACCCGATCCGCAAGTACGCGAACGTGGAAATCAAGGCGAGCGAGCACCCGCTGACCGTGCCACAGTCTCCCAATTTCTCCGATCGGTTTCAGCGTTGAAGCCAGAGGCTCCGAAACCCCTCTTGAGTGCAAAAGGCACCGGGGGGGGGGGGTTGGGGAGCAGGTGCCCTCCTTGGCTTTGAAATTTTACCCACCCAGTTCACCCCCAGAAACCTTTTTTTTTTTCCCCAGTTTGAGACTCTTTGTCCCCCTAATCCATCCTTTCCTCCAGAAACTCGTCCCAGTTTTTATCGTTTTTTTTCTGATCCTTTGGGTTGAGCCTTTGTATTTATCTCCATTAAATAAAAAAATATATACGTGAGCAAAATCGGACGCCAGGAAGATTTCTTTCGGCCATCGAGGGCCCCAGCTGTGATTTTTTTCTGTCCTCCTGGAGATGGGACAAACTCTTACCAAAATAATAAAATGTTTGGAGTTGGTCCTTGATGCTCTCTGAGCTTCTTGCCTTTCGTACAAAGGTTCCTATAGCAGTGGTTCTCAACCGGTGGGTCGGGAGGCCATTTGGGGTCGAACGACCATTTCACAGGGGTCGCCAAACAACGCAGTCCGCCATTTCCCCCCCCCCCTTTTCCTTAGCTGTGCTACTCCCTTTTATTCTACTGGCTTTTGAAAGCCAATCGAAGAGACTCTCTTGAATAGAGTCTAATCCTATTGGCTTTCCAAAGCCAATAGGAATTGTCCAGGCTGTCTCTGCCCTGCTGAGCCTGCAAAAGTCCCATTCTGCAAACGGTGCTGCACCAGTTGAGTAGTCCTCGACTTATGACTGGTTGAGTACTCGACTTACGACCGGTTGGGGGTCACGGCATTAAAAAGGTTGAGAACCACTGCCCTATAGCCTCAACATCTTCTATCTATCAGTTCATCTCTGTTAGTGAGAATTAAGTCCAATATGGCTGATCCCCCTAGTTCAGGGGTCCCCAACCCCCCCACTCCATGGACTGGTACTGGGCCGTGGCAGGCCAGCAACCGGTCCACCCAAACAAGCAAAGCTCCATCCGTGGGATGCAGGCAGCACCCAAAACCACGCAGCCTCCGGTCCGTGGAAAAAAACTCTCCGTGGAACTGGTCCCTGGTACCCCAAAGGTTGGGGACCCCTGCCCTAGTTCCCTTCTCTACTTTGGGGGAGACAAAGTTGTCTGCCAGGTTTGTCAGCCACCTGTTTGATCTTCCACTTGGTGCAGAGTTTGTCTGCCAGTTGATGTCAGGGTAATTAAAGCCCCCCGTCACCATTATGGTGTGCTTCCTATATACCTTAGTTATCTGACTAGCAAAAAGTGTGTCTCTTTCCTCTGGCTGGGTGGCCTACATAGAGCAGGGCTTTTCAACCTTTTCACCCATTGTGCCACTTTTAGGATATGGCAACATCCAAGGACCACCAATCGCCTAGCAAGGTGTCAAAAACTTGATGACTCCCCCCCCAAAGGAAAAAAGTGATAAAGTACAGGTAGTCCTCAATTTACAACAGTTCGCTTAGTGACTGTTTGGAGTTACAATGGCACTGAAAAAAGTGCCCCCCAAGCCACTGCCGAGCAAGACACCTGCCTGCCTGCCCGGCCGCATTCTTCCTCCTGTCCGAGGTTTTCATGGTTGTGAGCATTTCTGTTGGGGATTGGCAGAGGGGGTGGGGTGGGGGGGTGTTTGGTTTTTATTCTCCCCCTGTCTGCTGGGTGGTTGCAGCAGGTTTTGGTCACTTCACATGGCCCCGGGACACTGACCGTCATAAATATGAATCGGTTGCCAAGCCTCTGAATGTAAATCACAAGACCCTGGAGATGCTGCAACATTCCAGCTGATTGGCGCTTCTTTGGGGCTCAGCAGAAGCGCCAGGATCAGCACCGAGCCCCAGCTGGAGCCTGGCGCTGATCCTGGCACTTCCGCTGAGCCCTGATAACCCTGAAGAAGCGCCGAATAGCTGGAAAGCGGCACTGATTGATCCTGGCGCTTCCGCTCAGCCCTGACAGCCCTGCAGCTCCAGCCGTCTCTCGCTCAGGCTTGTGCAGTGCTGCCACCGGTTCAGCTCATTCCCCTCCCCCGCTACTTTTCTAGGATGGTCGCGTCCCACCTGTCAGGTGCCAATGTACCACAGGTGGTACCCGTCCCACTGGTTGAAAAGCCCTGATATAGAGTATACACTTGTGTCCTTTCCTCCCCCCCCCCATTGATACTGACCCCAATGCATTCAAGGCACTTGTCCTCATTGTTGTGCTCTATTTCTGTAGAGATGTTGTTATTTCTCATAGAGAGAGCAACTCCACCTCTTTTATTGGGTCTGTTTCTTTTCAATAATTTAAATCCCTCGCTGTGAGTTCCAGTTGTGGGTTTCGTCGCACCAAGTTTCTGTAATGGCGACAATATCTCATCGGCCCTCATTTACCTGAATTTCTCATTCACCCTGTTTGTTGCTCGTGCTCTGTGTATTGGTGTGTAGACATTTGAGTCCTTTAGGGCTGACCCTGTGTTTACTTTCTACACCAGGGGTCCCCAACCCCCAGTCCGTGGACTGGTACTGGGCCGCGGCATGCCAGCAACCGGTTCACACAAACAAGCAAAGCTCCATCCGCGGGATGCAGGCAGCACACAAAACCACATGCTCTCCAATCCCCGGGAAAACCTCTCTCCACGAAACCAGTCCCTGATGCCCAAAAGGTTGGGGACCTCTGTTCTACACAATTTGTGTGGTACCTGACTTCCCCTATGTCCTTACCACCTGTTGGATTCGTGCACTTGGTATGGCACTCGCTATTAAAAGCTTGATTTTGCTTGACAGCTAGGTTGATGTAATAATAATAATAATAATAGATAAGAAAGACAAAAAAGTCTGGATAGTGGACGTGGCAGTGCCTGGAGACAGCAGAATAGACGAGAAAGAACTGGAGAAGATCACAAAATACAAAGACCTACAAATAGAAATAGAAAGACTGTGGCAAAGGCAAGCAAGGGTAGTACCAATAGTGATAGGCTCCTTGGGTGCAATCCCAAAACAACTGGAGCACCACTTGAACACCATTGGCATTGACAAATTCGCTATTAGTCAATTGCAAAAGGCGGCCTTATTAGGAACTGCTTCCATCCTATGACGATACCTGTAATACCATCAAACATCCACATCTGCCTATCCCAGGTCCTGGGTAAGGACTCGATAGGTAAACAAAAATGCCAAATCCAGTCTGAACATCTGGCTGACTGTGCAATGATCAATAATAATAAAGTTGGAAGGGGCCTTGGAGGTCATCTAGTCCAACCCCCTGCTCAGGCAGGAAACCCTATACCATTTCGGACCCATGTTACATCTTACCCGTGTTACATCTATCTTACATGTCCGATCAAAATTCGGACGCTAGGCTCATTTATGACGGTCGCGACATCCCCTGGGATCACGCCATCTCCTTTTTGCGACCTTCCGATAAGCAAAATCCACGGCGCAAGCCAGAGTCACTTAACAACGGTGCTCCTAGCTCAGGGGTAGGCAACCTGGGCTCTTTTATGACTCGTGGACTTCAACTCCCAGAATTGCTGAGCCAGCATGGGGGAACTATGGCCCCCTCATGACTGGTGGACTTCAACAACTCCCAGAATTCCTGAGCCAGCATGGATCTCTCCCTTTCCCCTCAGCATGGCTTGCTCAGGAATTCTGGGAGTTGAAGTCCACCAGTCATAAAAGAGCCAAGGTTGCCTAAATGTCTGAATTTTGATCACGTGACTGTGAGGAAAAAATATTTAAATATATAAATATTTAAACCAGGGGTCTTCAAACTTGGCCCTCGTGGACTTCAACTCCCAGAATTCCTGAGCCAGCATGGGGGAACAATGGCCCCCTCATGACTCGTGGACTTCAACTCCCAGAATTCCTGAGCCAGCATGGGGGAACTATGGCCCCCTCATGATTCGTGGACTTCAACTCCCAGAATTCCTGAGCCAGCATGGGGGAACTATGGCCCCCTCATGACTCGTGGACTTCAACTCCCAGAATTCCTGAGCCAACATGGCTCAGCTTGGAAACCTCTCCCTTTCCCCTCAGCATGGCTGGCTCAGGAATTCTGGGAGTTGAAGTCCACGAGTCATAAAAGAGCCAAGGTTGCCTACCCCTGTCCTAGCTTAACCCTTGCTGTCATTATCTTAACAACGGTGACAAGGCAGGGGGCAAAGCTCACTTAACCGGTCTCACTTAGCCACCGAAATTTGGGGCTCGGTTGTGGTCATAAACCGAGGACTCCCTGTATCAGTTGCCCCCTAAGCACAGTTCAAGACATTCCCCAGCTGGCTGGCCTGGGGGATTCTGGGAGTTGAAGTCCACGGAGTTGCAAGGTTGAGCAACACCTACGAATATCTTTTAGAATAGATGTTCTATATTTGCACAACCGAGGTTCTCCCTTCGGTTTGGGCCAGGACACCCTCCCTCCACCCGTGTTCTTCTCCACGACCGTCGCTTCCTTCGGAGACCCTCCTGGCAGTGTGTGTGTGTTTGTGTGTGTGTGTGTGTGTCTTGAACCCCATTTTCCCAATCTTGGACCCAGCTTCTGAGAACGGTCGCCTCCCGGCTCTCCACACTGCTTTTCCTGCCCCTTGGCATCGCCCGGGCTCCATATGACCCCGGCGGGGTGCCAAAAGCGCAGCTGTGTTGTGTGTTCACCGCAGGAAAGGAAAAAAACACCCAAGCCGGAGTCGTGCGGGTGTCCGAGACCCCAGACGCTCCAGCAAAGCAATGTGCTGGCAGAGGAAGGACGTGGGCTTTTTTTAGCCGGAGCTGGTGGCATTATCGCTCGCCAGCCAGCAGTGTTGCTGACTGGCTCTCACACCTCCTCGGATCCTCAAATCTGCTCTCTGGACGGGGTGGGTGGGTGGAGGGGTAAAGCCCAGCATCCCCCCCCCCCAGCCCACAGGGATGGCAGAAGGACGGTCACATCTGTCTCTCCCCTCCGGGCAAGGTGTGACCTGCGTTATGGAGCGCTGGCAATTGGGCTTGCAGGTAAGAGCCGGGCGTTTGGCAATGCCCACCGAGCCGCCTGGCAGTGGGGCTCGATTTAGCTCGGAGATCGGGTTTCCCCCCCCCCCCAGAAGGGGATGAAGAGGGGCTGCCTAACCAGCCTCCCCCCCCCACACGGAAAGAGCAAAAAGGTTAAAGGGTGTCCTGATCCCGGCGGTGACGGCAACGTAGCCAGGGGAACCGGCATGCTTGAGTCCCTGCCAGCTGCCCCAGGACGGGCGCGGGCTTTGCCTTCCCTACAGCCGGGTTGGATTCCTTGCGTGCAAAAGGTCTTTGGAAGAGGCAGAGGGTGATGCAAGCTTCGGCCTTGGCTTCAAGTAGAGAGGGCTTTGTGCTGGAGGCTCTGCCGGGTAAAGATAGATAGAGCTTAGTCTTGGAGGCTCTGCCAGGTCAAGGTAGAGAGGGC